GTTCTAGCGGCAAGACAATTGGAGCAGCGAACAGGAATGAAAAAAAAGCTGAATATAACCAGCAAGGCCGGTGTTCCCTCTTTCCCCGTGGCCGACACCAGAACGATATCTGCGTGGATACTCACGTTCTCATGCTTTCATGTCCACTAGCTTGGTCCACAAGAATCCTCGATGATCGTCCTGGTCCACCTCGAACATCTCTTCGCAAACTTTCCGTTCCTTCCTCTATACGTCCCGTCTTTTAATAAGTTTCTTCTTATTGACGATTCGATGACAGAGTCTCACGATCGACGATCGATTATATTCCACGATTTACTTTCTATTGACTCTATCGTACTCCGTCTATGAGAAACCAAGGCACTGCGAAAAAATCGCGCACGATATCACGAGCTTCTCTCTCGTTGCTGCCGCACCGTGCATTGAAATCACCAGGTCCCGATGATCACCGCAGGGCCAATATCAGAGGACCTCGTGTTCGCGCGCGCACCGTCTTCCATCGAACGAACGAAGAATTGAACGAAGAAGAACAATTCCAGGAACAAGTCCACCTGGCAGGTAGGATATCCCGACTTCACGGATCTCTAACAGAGTGGAAACTGTGATCAAGTCGCTCCGACGCTGCTCGGAACGACGTTCCGGTTTTGGCTGTTCGATCTCGATTATCGAGTACACCACAGAGGACCGGGCTGATAGTCTCGACCTTCACGTCGACGCGTACGAACGTTTTCTGGCACGGTTTTCGTGTGTCCGTCACCTGGAATTGAGGTCCCGCCACCAAGCGAGGCGGCCACGCGAGAGGTCGAACCTGAATATCGCCACCTGCTTCCTTCGACGTTCCAGGAAGATCTGAGGTGAGAGGGACGGCCATTTTGAGGGACCGTGCTGGCTCTCAGGTGGCGCTATAGTTGGAGAACTGTGGCTACACCGGTGTGGGTATTACACTTCTTTACGTGCGCTCACCTGGCGAGGTTCTGTCTTCGTCACCTGTGATGATACACGTTCATCGTCGTCGTTCAACCGTTCGTTAGAATAAAATCTTCGTACTTCTGTCTATCTTCTTTTCTCTATTTCTCTTTTGTCACACTGGTAGTGTTTAAATATAGCAAAACTGCAATTATTTTAATGAAATCAACTGTTACTAGTTGAATAGATTTATCTGACTGTAAACTCCTATTTTATGAACGAAAAATAATAGTTACGAGAGAAATTGGTGAACTCTATTATACAAACTATTTGTCTGCCAAAAAGTTCGTATAAACGGAGTTCTACTTTAGCGTAAAAGCAGATTGAGGAATATGATGGATAGCACTGTGCTTACACACGTGCCGTAATGATAAAGTGACAAAGTACATTCATTCTTTCGTTATTACCGCATCACATCGGCACAAACGCGTAGAATCAGCATGATGTTTATTATGCTTGATTTTGTCTAACAACTTACTCGATAAGTAGCAGATAAACGTGCAATAGAGTTTCTTTCGTGCTGTTACAGCTTCACAGTTGAAAATTCATAGTCTTATAATTTCAAAACTAGTAATATTTAGATCCATATTTTTTTTAGTAGCTTCTTCATTGTTTCGATGAGTAGTACGTACTTCTGAAGTTTGACTGCAGCGTATGAAATACTCTGCATATACGAATCTTTCGGTTAGATCTAATAAGTTTATTTGTATACGGTCGATGTTTGATGATGTACGAGATTCCTGGATGATTTCCCGAAGAATTCAATGATTTCTCGAGCTGGCTGGAACGTGGTCTCGGTTCACTACTTTCATTTGAGCAACTGATCGATACGTGATGGGAAAAAAGAAAGCGGAGAACGAGTCACAATTTTGTTTACCGAGACTGGCGGCCACCGTTTTAGGATATGCTCGGCTGTGATCACATTTAGATGCTCGTACGCTAATTGCGAGTTGAAACAAGTACAGTCCGCAATTCGATTTATTGCGAGTTTACTGTTTAATTACAGGTGATGCGAAATCGGGATTCCTCCGAGTCGTTCGGGCGTCATTTTTTGCCTACTTCTTTATGGCCAACTTTCACTGACGCATTGGGAACACGATTGGTTGGAATGTTAAACCCGATTGGAGTTACGATTGTTAATGTTCTGACGACAATGGGCGGGCTTTAAACTGTCGTCTGGTGTGTCACGAATCGAACAATTCGAATGCTATAGCACTCAGGAAATAAATTAAATTTGTTATTGTACGTTCTAAAATAGCTTGCAAAACAATTCTTCTCAAGTATGATACATAAATTCAAGACGAGAATAATCGATAATTTATTGTGAGATACCATCTAACTATATCGTTAGCTTACTTAACAGATATCTTACAGCGTTACACTTTTATATTTTCACAGGTCGTCAACTTCCTTTTCTGAGAGTAGCGGTCTTGGACAAAAAAGACACTACGAAATAGCGATTAAACGTCAATTAAACTCGAATATGATTATGCTTTTATATTGCAAATCAACTTAAATGTAAAATTAACTCTATAAACTGTCCACGAATGCGTGCATTCATCTATAACAGCTAAAATCGGTGAAATAGTTAATTAATTTCCCTTCCGTGTGAAGTGGAAAATCGTGAATAAAAAAGGATCCCCGCTTAATGAATCTGTTACAGGCACAAGAACGAAGCATTAAACCTCCATCAACCTGCTTATGGTTGTTTTCACCTGGGATACCGAGATATCGTGCTTCGATATCTCCAATGAGATCATTTGCTTAGTGGAGTGTACAGGCGGATGTTTTTTCGTTTGAATGAAAAGCAGGTTGAGCACGCGGTGGATAATAACGGCGGATTCGATAAATTATTTAAATGAATTGTTAAGACTGTAAGGCGAGATCTCTCTTTCTTGGTAACCGGCGTTCCAGACTGACGTGGCGTGCGAGCAGTTCCCGATTTAGTAAATTGCTCGTAGACCTGTTTCTTACGGTTCAAGATTAAAACGACGGAGGGAGAGAAAAAAATGGAGAGGACGAAGGCGAAGGGAAGGGAGGTATAAAGAATCAAAAGTTTTTCGCCGTCGAACGAAACATTTCAATACCCACGCGAGTATTTACGAATGTCTCGCCACACGTGGGAAGCAAAGTTGTATGCGGTGATGCAACCATGGATATAATACAGATGCAAATTTGAGTCGACAACAGTTAGCATATAATTACACCTTACTGTATTTAGTTTTACGACTGTTCAACTTCAATCGAGTACTTCACCTTTCTATCGTTCTTTACACTTGTTTTTCCTCGTTCTAGGTGTTTAAAGAATCGCCATGCTTGGAATCGCAATAAGAATTTTTACTTTTATTGAAGCTTTAGTACATTCTTATGTGAACGATGGTTTATCTAAGTTGCATATAAAGTGAAAATACTATTTCCAAGGTATTATTTGTTCTATATCAACGTGTTTGGAATATCTTATAGAAATTCTTATTTTTATCGAGAATGTTCTGTATGTTTCTATGTGAAGAATGATTTATCCGAGTTGCATATAAAATGAAAATACTACTTCGAAGATATTGTTAATTTCATGTCATGTTCGATACGATATTGATACTGGATGGTCATTAAAATTCGAACACGTTTCGCTTCTTCTGTGATTATATCATTGATTCGAGTACGATTGCATTATGAATTGTTAGAGAAACAATGCCCGGGATTTATTCATAAAATTTATTGTTGCAAATGAATGGAGGGAGGGAGAGAGAGAGTTGTCTTTCATTGGTTCATTACGAATTGCTTATAAGTTGCGATGAAGTAACGGAATTAATTTGCGTGTATGTTCTCTTCAAGATAATCCCACATAATGCTCAATATCTACTAGGACTGGGATTCAATCGATGAAACGCGTTTCAAAATAAATTCATTTATTGAGAGAATAAATTTTTCATTAATTTATTGCGTGTCGTTAAAATTCCTCTAAATGTAAATTCGTTCACTTTTGTGTAATATTTTTCGACCGCCGATGCGTATTACGCTTATATTTGGGTTTTATTAACTGTTGCATATAAGACATACGTGCAACATGTATGGAAGATTCTTATTTACCAAACTCGAAAAGTAGAAAAGTCTGTTAAATCCAAAATATTAGGTTGTCTCAAAAATTTCTTTCGTTTTATAAGGAAATAGTAAATGCACAACATTTTCTGTTTTATATTATTTTATTGAATTACGTATGATCCATTCTCTAGTAATAGAACAAAATGGATAAGCAAATGGAAAGGAACTTTTGGAACAACCTAATATCTTAAAATAGATGACAAACCTACGAAATTTTAGGAAAAAAGCTAATGTTACGACAATTCATATTTTTAGAACCATCAAGATAGCCAAAATGTATATTTAGTTTCAAAAATAAATCGAAGCACAGTCCCGATATAATTGAAGGTTGGTTGACCTATTGAGTTTTGAAATCGCCCTTGTAAAGAACGAAAAATGTCACTTATCAGACTTGTCTTCTCTAAGCGAACATTTACATAACTATATCTCTTAATTGGTCTCATCGCAGATTAATATTCCTTTTTGTATTTTATATCATATATCTTTATATCTTTTATTTATCTTCACATTGCATTAGATAATCGATAACAATGTGTCAAACAGATATCTAAAACCAAGTTTTCCACAAACAAGGCCTCGTACAAAAAATTCTTACTCCACATGTTCGACTCATATTGTCCCATAGTATTACCCTTTTCCCAGTTGCACCATTAGTTATCCTCGTGTGTATATTTCCTCCATTCCACCCTACAAAATCTCCGACGAACGTCCCACACGAATTGTCCCAATTTTCCCATCACGATTCCCGATGGAACTCGCAGTCGCGCAAAAAAGCTCAGATCCCTCTATATAGCGTGTCTCTAAAGAACGTACAAAGACACCATTGGGTTTTGTCGAGCGAGTGCCAGCTCTAACGCTTCTAAACGCGCGCGGCGTCGCGATATATTTACGCGAACGGGGAGACTTCGGTAAAACGGTGGCATCGGTCCAGCGAGCCAACGTTACGGAAATAGATTTCGGCTGGTGGCGATGCAACAGCTTCTTGTAGACGACGAGCAGTGCCGAACGGTCGGAAGCAGCCAGTACCGTGACGACCAGTTCCCGAGGAAAACCGGAGAAATCGCCTCCGCGAGGTCCCACATGAATGTGAGTGTCGATCTTCCTTTCACGAGTGCCATTATCTGCCGCGTATCGGTGCCCGTGCGTGACGTTCCCTGATCCCGGGCCCACAGTGCGTCCTTTGTTTTCTACGTGCTCGCCGATAACACGGTGCATCAATCTGGAAACGCTCCACCGCGTACAACTTCCACCATCTTACCCTATTCTACTCTTTTCTTCGTCGACGCCTTGAAATTCTCCCAAATTCTCTCTCTCTCTCTCTCTCTCTCTCTCTCTCTTTCTCTCGCGGAAGAATGTATTTTTGAGGAAATAAAAACTTTATATAGAGAGCTATAAGCTTTATCTTGTTCAAACTGTGTGGAAAAGTGTTGATGCGATGGAGCAAGAACGCACTGTACCGATGCGGACAATGGAAAAGATTCATCGTTACGTTTTTGTAATTATTTCAATGAAACTCTAGGGAGTTTTAGGTCTCCCCCTCGCATAAAATAGCGGCATCCAGGTTGCATAAAGTAGTGACGATGTAAGAATGCGAAAATACGAAAATTCGTTACACCTATGGCAACAATCGAAGAGATTTATGTCATGTTACATTTCCGTAATTGTTTTAAAGAAGCTTGAGAAGATAGGAGTTTGTGGAAAGCATTAGGCCTTCCATCGTCGAACTTGCATAGTAACGTGATGTAAGAATGTTAGAACACAAAAATACAGCACAGATAATCGAGCAAACTTAAATTTTCTCAATCGTTCCAAAAGGATGTAAACCTAAAGCGATCGAGAGACGAAGCAGCGCGATGAGAGGCAAACAGAATCGATGAGAATAAACCAGCGAATTTCACCGGTTTTACTTTCGCGAGGTGAAACGGAAGTGCATCGTAAGACGCACAATCGATGCGAATCTTCGTGTGTATGTACCGCGGAAGACACGAGAGGATATACGCTCGTGTCCGTGTTTCCGTGGGTTTCACGTGCAGTTCCACGTTTTTTCTTCCGGTGCAGACCAGAAACCGGGGATTGAAAAGCGGATTGTTTATGAAGACACGCGATGCTAGCTACGCTTTTACAGGCGTGCAGCTCGGTGACACTATCGCGGCGAAAGCATCTGAATATTCCGCTTCGTGTGAAACCACCAAGAGGAATGGATATATATAGCGTTCTAATTTAGTTGGATCGGACTTGGAGACGCAGTTTTATGTACTTATGGCTGGTTTCCGGGGTCTGCGTGATTTGTGACACGTGTCAGTGTGGAATAATCAGTTTCTTTCCGTACGATTCTTCCTATAATTGGTCTTGAAATTTCTCGAAGTGATGGATGACGATCACGATGAATATTTCACTACAAAATCGAAACTGATGCTTGCTCGTTAGATGGAAGATAATAAGGCTCGCGAAGGGATATTATTACGTAGTTAGAAAAATGTTTGGAGAAGAAACTCGAGTGGGTAGGGAGAAGCTAGAAGTTGGAACGTGACCAACTCTTGTAGACTTTTGCAATTTTGTCGGGAAATAGAGTTTCGTGTAGCACGTTCGCTTTTTATCGAGGCAATTCTCACCTTAAAATTAACTAACATGTCGGATGAAATTCACATGTTTGTCAAAATTTTTATCTCTACTTTTGTCTGAGACAGAATATTCTTATGATGATCGTGGCAGAATCTAAATTTACAATTCTTGGGAATTAGGTGCTTTGTTGCTCTCGTAGTAGAACAAAAGAGTGTGGACAGTCGAGAAGAACAGAAGGGGTAAACGTTCTAAAGATATAGGGCTCTAATTCGAGGGACTAATTCATGCATGTGGAACTCATGCCGCCGCGAAGGCTGGAACCGCGAAATTACTCTTCTTTAATAAAAAAAAAATTGTTATTCTTTAAGAATTTGTAATGCAATTCGAAAATAAGAAAGCAATACTTTTCCTTCCATTCACAAACGAATAAAATATATCTCTTGCGTAAAAAGCATAAAAGAGTGTGAAGCTAAACGTAAACCTCGATGTTTTTAATACAATTCGAAATTACGAAACCATAAATTGATGAACCATAAAAACCCTCTTTCTTTAATCCATAAATTCATTAACAAACGAAATATGTTTGCCGTGTAAACGGTTGTAAAAACGAAAAATGTAAATGCAAATAATTAAAATAAATTCCAAAAGGTCTGGATTAAATATCGAGGAAAGGTTGAATGAATTTGAGAGGATCACGGTGCGATATTTATGTATTTTAGGTATACAAGTCAACGCGAAGAGATATAGCGTCGCGTGGCTCGATTTTATTTCGAGACGCGGAACACGATTTTTCCTCGTAAAAATAGATTCGATTTTGGCCTCTTCCGGCGAAGAATCAACCGTGTGACGTCACGCTTTCTCGAGGATCCACTCGAAAAATCTTGTCTAGCGAAGTCACTCTACTCAGACACCTAGTCCAAGGTGCGATGACATGAATTCACGTACAGCTTGGCAGCTGAACACGAGTTACTCGATGCTGCCAGCTTGTCATCCCAATTCGAGACTGCAAAAATGCATCGCACCTATACAAACAATTAAAGAGATTCATTGTGCAAGCGATTGCATTTATCAATTTCATTTTTTCTACTCTTAACTACTTCTACGGTGTCCTGGACCAATCCATATGTTATACAAATTTCCACTAATTTTACTTTTAAGTAATATATAACGTTAAGTAATTGAATAAATGATAACTGTCAATTAGATTGAGCTTTATACATATATCATTACACGTGCGCCTCAAAACTTCAACGGAAAGTTAATGTATTTTCATCTGACAAGGATAAAAATCATTGGAGAAGCGTAATAACAACTGCGATTAGGGGAACTTCTCTCATAACCGCTAACGTAAAAATGTATATACTTCCTAAGATATAGATAATTCTAATAAACATTATATTAGAATTCAAGTGGAAATTCTTCGAGGTTCCTCCAATAATTATTAAATATCTGTTTTACAGAACCCGGGAGCTGAAAAATGGCGCCCGATGGCCATCTCGAACCCATCGACCCGGTTGCGCATGGCAAGGTCCATGCCCCACTGGGTACTGGTGCGTAACTCTCCCGTCAATATCTCTTCTTTTTCTTTCAATCAATCTTAAATACGTAATTTTTCATCCTTAAAAGGCGCAACAGCAGAAGGATGCGGAGCAGAAGCAGCAACGCCAACCACCGACCCCACCGAAAGTCCCACCGCCATCGCTCTCCGGAGACTGTGGTGACCCAGACTACGAGATCATCGAATTTCCGACCCGACCGCAAGCACAGAAGTCCTCGACACCGGGCATGACGTACAAGTGCGCCCTATGTGGCACCGAGAACGTTTTCGCCCGTTGCGATATTTGCAATGGGAATTATTGCGAAGCCTGCGATGACATGAACCACAAGCACCCAAAAAGAAAAAACCACGTACGAAGAAGAATCTTGACCGATCTAGCGACGAAAACGCGACCACCTCTACCGCCAAAAGGAGAAAATGTATCGTCTCCGCCGCCAATCCCACCGCCAAGAAGAAATCGCAAGAGCGCTCAGGTAGGATGCAACCTGGCCTGAAGCTTTCATCCCTTTCCGCGAATTTTCTTTCAGGCTGACGACGTCTTGTCGATACTAGGTACCTTTGAGCTTCAGATCCAGAATCTATTCGGACGATTGTTAGTGGGTTGTATCGGGATCAACGGAAACCAAGTTGCGAAGATCACGAATCTTGTAACACAAAGAGCAATTGCAACTTTGTCTCCTGTGACCTCGAGTCGTTTATCGATGAATGTTGTTTTGTTGATTAGATGTTGCTTCTTACTCGTTGTTAGCTGTACCACGCTTCGAGCGGCGCCAGTTTCGCTGATTTCTGCGAGAGAACACGTCACACCGAGGCACCGTGAAGATTGTTAATCGAACATCGTCAGTCACATCGAGCTTTAAATAGTCATCTAAGAATTGTTCCACAGATACATCGACAGATTTTATAGAGATCTTTATTATTGTATATCGACGTTGTTTCTTCTTAATACACCACGTTACCGCAAAAATACTACTGCCGTATTCACTGATACCTGTTCACTCTTTCAACTCTGTCGATAATAACGTAACGGCGGGAAAAGATACGTGCTGACACAATTTACGGAAGCACTATGCAAATTTTGTATGCTCGTGCTTTTGTCTTCGAGCGACTGGCACGACGGTGAATATGGCAGAGCACGGTGAACACGGTGATTCGATTTAACCGTCATACACCGTTTCGTATTTCCCGTACCGTTACTAAAACATCGTTTTATTATATGCATATATTTTATTCACTAAAAATACACGTTGTTACACAGATTAGATAGTTATTTTCAGCTTACAGCAATGACACTGATCATCGCCATTTCTTTGTCGCTAACGTAGAATTAAGAATCGATTTATTCGAAGTCTAATTTATTACGTTCACGTTATTTAAGTTGCAAGCATTCTCGATTCGTCGAGGACATCATTTAATTTATTTTCTTTTCTACTAACGCTTTGTTTATCATCGATTTAGCCTCGCACGTCGCCGCAATTTAATTTTAGCGCTGCTGCCTTCAACCGCGAACACCCGCCATCTTCTTCTTCTTTCGAATACCTTTTTCCATCGTCGTCTATCCACGAAAAAAAGAAACACAGAAAACGTTTTCAACAATCATGATGGAAAAAACGACAACGTTTCCAAACGATGGCCATGTAATAAAGTTCAGGTTTCGCGCTTAGGCTAAATCGACGCAAAACCAGGGATCTACGAATCTCTCCTTGATCGAAAGAGTCGACAGCTTGAAGCGAGTTCTTCCAAACACCACCAGGCCACTGTCAGCCACCCTTGACACGAAAACAGTGTCGAAATCCATGCAGTCTGTAAATACTATCACCAACGATGGAACAGGATCAGGATCAGGGACTGACAAAATGTCTACGCTGCAGGTAAACTATTTCGTCAACTATTCTTGTCGTAACATTAAATTGGTGCGTATAATATGTTATTTGTTCAAATAATAGATTTTTATACACATATACTTAATTCAAGCAATTACAGTATGCAATTCGACACAATATACTTTTCAATGATCAACTTGTTTCATTATTCCAGGTTTACATATAAAAGTTATCGGTTCTAGAATTTAAAAATTCTTAGAATACTGTAGCCTTACAGCTTCTTTTAAAACGATTTGTATATTAAAAGATCTTTGGTGGAATAGGGGATGTCATTGATCTTTCCAAGTGAAACAGTCGATGTGATTAATAATTAACGGTAGAACAAAATTTAACAAGTCGTATTTATTGGTCAAATTCGAATTTCATAGGAACAACATTTCATATGCACCAATCTAATAGAAAACTTTAATGAACATTTTACACGTTCCCCTATTATTCAATAGTAGTGCTTGACGTTTAATGAATGCAACCTATTATTCATCGAATACCATTTACTATTACGTGCACCGCAACATTATTCGGTAATTCAGTAGGCTTCTACTATTCATCGAGTATTATAAAATAACTAATTAATATTTGAAACATTTACGCATTATACAGTACTTGATCTGTTAAGTGCTTTTTGATAGTGTGCCTCCGTATTAAATAGTAATACGAGATGTGTATTTAACAAACGTGTAAAATGGCTGGTAAAGGTAGAAACGTGAATTGTTTAACACACGTACGAATATTCAGGAAAGGTACAGGAAATATCAGGAAGCAATGAGAGCGCAGGATGCTAACAGAAGGAGGCATCCTCCCTCCGATATTTCGAGAGATACATTGAATACAAGGCCACTGAGCGTAGGCAGCCCGAAACTTATGCCTCCGGTACCACCGCCGCCGCCGCCTAGATCTATGATGCAATCGGCCAGTGTTTGCGATTTATCGTCGCCACACATGTGGAGTCCAGGAATGCATCAGGTAATTTTATTAAACTAAACATCACAAATGAATGTCGTCCCATTAGCTGACGTGGTCTCTATTTTGAAACTATACAAAGAAATTTTTGTATGAATTTGTTTTTTGAATTGATCGTATGCAAATGCAGATTTATTTTTAAATAAAAAGATATATATGTCATGTATCGAAATAAATGTATAAAGATATTTGTATTAAATCTATTGGAAACAAATTAAGATCTAATAAAATTATAAAAAAAAAATTCCAATATCTTTCAAATTTGTATTTTTATAATACAATAGCTCTAATAAACGATGATCGAACGCGTTATTAGGAAAAAGCAAGAGCTTTATCGGCCGTAAGAATTATAAATATTTATATTCTGGAGTTAATAATGCAAAATTAATCAGTAAGATTAAACATTTATCGTTTCATATTAAATTAAAATTACCATTGAATTTTATTGTAGGCTCAATCAATGGCGCATCTAGGTCCTGGAGGTATTCCAATAATGTGGTACCCACCGAATCCACCATGGGACATGACCATGGGTGGTTCCACGATGAGTCTAAATCACCCAACAATGTGGGGTTATCCCATGGGATTCCCTCCGTCACAAATGCTTCCACCACACTATCCGGGTTCTATATCAAGATCACATAGCCCAGCAAGGAGCGTGAAATCCAGCAGAAGATCGAGAGCAGTCTCGCCATCGCCAAGTCTGAAATCTAGGAAATCATTAGCTAGCAGATCACGATCGAGAAGATCGCAGGGATCACCGTCTGACGCTAGTTCTGAAGACTCTGGTGAATCAGATTTCGACGACAGGCTCTCTAAAAGTTCTAGGGGCACCAGACGTGGAAGTGTGTCTAGGAGTACAAGGCAAAGAAGCTACCATGAAGATGATGGGTCTAGAAATTTGTTAAATAGAAATCGTCGCGAGTAAGTTAGAAATTTGATTAATAATTTGAAATTCGTATTAGTAGACTGCGGATGTTTATGGGTTTGTGGAAAATTCAAAGGTGGAAAAATGCACGCAGTATACGTGATATGCAAAAATATGTAAAATTATCATTTCAATATATTTAAAACAAAATTTGTTTTTTATTTAATCGAGTTAATTACAATCGAAATACAAACGAAAGTTTTGTCAATTGTAAAATATAGAGATGGAAATTTATTAAAATTGAAATGTTCATTAAATTATTTTATAAGTTTAATGGCTCGTGTAAAACCGTATCATAGAAAAAGAAATCCAGATTCCATCTCTTTAGATATCTCCAGAAAAATATGAAATTGTCTAAATATCCACAATCTAAATGTCGCAGATTCTACGAAAAAGATTCTGGAATATTTTAAATATAATAATTCGATATTTTACAGACGGCTAATGTCAGAAGAAAGAATGACCAGTACAGAAGATCAGTGGTCCGAGAGTCACTCTATCAAACGATATCCAACATCACCAAAGAACCATGACGAATTTCAAAAGAACACTTTAAATTCACGACGACGATATGACCAAGACGAACGCAGGCTCTCCAAGCTGGATTCGCGATTAGATCGCGTTCAAAACGGCAGCTACCGTCGTAGACAAAGCACCGACGATGACTCTTCAGACAGAAGGTCCACACTACAAACACGCTCTAGAGTAACCAGTTCCTCTGACGATCACTTCGACAAATCAGAGTTGGTTCCTCGACGAAGGGACGACGAGATGATTCCAAGAAGAGCTTCCTCTGTGAGAAGAGAAGTAAGTTTGGACGATCTCGAAAGAGCCTCTCGTAGAGATTCTCGAAGGTCCTCTATAGACAGTGACACACAAATTACCAGAAGAACTCCTTCCAGAGAAGCCTCTAGAAGAATCCAAGAAGTAGAAAGAATTGATAATTCACGATCCATTAGGGATGAAGATGATGTACCACGTGCTACGAAGAATCTACGAAGTCGTGAAGCTTCGCGTGATAGAGAAAGTGTCTCAAGAAGAGAGTCTTCGTTGAGAAAAGAAATGGAAGAAGCAGAGAGAATTTCTGTTAGAAGAATGTCGCCTCATGATTCTGATAGTCAGAGCATTAGAAAAACTCCATCTCGTGAATCGGTTTCTAGGAAGATACGTGAAAATGAGGATCGAGACGTGACACGATCTGTGAATAAGAATCAAGAAGAAGCTCGGCGATATATCGAGACAGAAAATCGAGAAGTTAGACGATTTATTGAAGAAGAGAAAAGAAGGGAAGAAGCTTTAGTAAAGAAGATGGAAAATGAAAGAAGTAAACATTTAGAAAGATCACCATCGGTAGGCAAAGAAGAGAAGCATGGATCAACGAGTGTGGATCAACGTAACAAGTCGCCGAAAAATGTGAAACTGAAAGAGGAAACGAGTACCACGATGGAAATTCCTAACGAAGAATGGGCATGCGAGCATTGTACTTTCATAAACGATTTAAAGGATCGTGTCTGCGTAGTTTGTTGCAAAACGAGGAGCAGCGCGTTGCCACCAAGTAGCGAAGAAAATCAAGAAGATGTTCAAAGTGGTTTGAGTGAGATTCCTAAAAATGAATTAGCGACTACGTCCAGCAACATTAGCAACCCTAGTCCTGATCTGGAAAAGAGGACCAGCCTGTTAAAGATTTCAAACAGCGAAGAGAGCGGGGATAGTGGTTCCACAAAGAACAAAGGTAGAGCAAGGCGTAAAATCAGCTTTTCGTTTGGTACCAAGTCGAATCAGTGATTAGAATTATTGTACCTGTTCTCTTCTTGAGTGTTTCTCCTTTTTTCCCTCGGTCCATGCACTCTGTTTGTCCTACCTCCTTTTTTTTTTACAAAAATTAAAGAAACAGCTGAATAAAAGATACGATTGTCTTTTGTCGATGTATATCCTTGGATGAATAATAAAGAGACATGAAAAGTGTTTCCTACACGATCAGTGGATACCAAATGCATAGTCGTATTTGAAATGAAGCCACTCTCTCGTTCATTTTCATTTCTCTTCTTTTTTTTTTAAGATCATGTCTGACGCAATTATTATTCATTCAAGAGGAGCTAGTTTCAAGCATGAGCGTGCATTTGGCTGATGTTCTTTCCACCCGGAATTCGTTGTCGAATTATTTCTCATTGTAAGTCCTGAAGATCTTAACATTCACTGGTCTTGAAGTTGAATATCATTAACAGAAAGTAAATGTTTCATTTTTTATATTTGTAAACAAATTTTTTTTCTTTTTAAATATACAAATCCTTAGAAAGTAACAAAAATAATATGTATATCCTGCCTGTTTGTATTTTCGATGATTCTAATGCCCCGTTCCTTGTACTGTGAGAATTTATACGTAATAATTTCACGAAGGTAACAGTTTGCATCAGAATGACGTTTTTCATTAATTCAAGTCTAAGATTCCAAATATTCGTAAAAAAGAGACTACGGATGCTTATGTATTTATACAAAAATGGAAATGCAAGAAAGCATAGAATACCTACGATACGGTTATATACAAATGTGTAAAATATCCAAAAGAATCTTTGATGAACGAAACAAATATTTGCGTGGATTTGAATTTTTATCTATGAAAATATGAATTTGCATAAACATCCGCAACGTTACCCACGGTATTAGCAAATTAACATCTAGAACATGACCTGATTACTTAAATTTACAGATTCCGCGACGCACGAAGATTCTCCTGCGATAGTTCCAGAGAAATCAATCGTTGAATCCTCGTCAGTGATAAGAAACGAGCCTACATTGATAGCAAACGATATATCAGTGACGACCAAGAGCACCGATGCTCCAAGCAATATCGTTTCTTCGAAAATAAATGAGGAAGAGTCAATGAAACGATCAATGCTCGAGAAAATTCCAAAAAGCCATTCAGTTTCCACTGGAACCTCTCCTCCTCCTCAGAACATTTCCACTCAAGTAAGGGAAAATAGGACATCTTTTTTTTATCGCAAAATGGGTCATTGGTAAAAGGTAAAAGAAGCACGAACGGGATATGAAATATACTTTTCAGACGTACGACTATCCTCCAGCAAGAAGTAGCGCTGGATTCGTAAGAGCTGCATCCACCTCAAAGGGATTATTATATTATGAAGACAGCGACGCGGAGGTAATACGAAAGATTAATATGTAGATATTCAAGTTCTTCTATCGAAACAAAAGTAGTTCAAATATTTAAGATTATTTAAAACGAGTTACAATAGTTTTATCTTTGGCTTTTAAAAGTTATCAAGCTCATTGGGAAAGATGTTTGATTGATCATTTTGGAAGATGACAAATGCGCACTTCGATTTTTGACACTGGAACTACCAATAATATATTCTTAAATGTTAGAAGTAGATTATTAGAATTAACTGAAAAATATTCCCAAAATGAGTTCTTGAATTGATACCAATGAACTTTCGTTTGAAATATTTTTTGTAAACTATCAAATGTAACTCAAACTTTACAATGATCGATTCCTGTCTCATAATATGGATGGCCATAATTAAAAATAAATAGCAACTTGAATAAAAGTCAGCCGTAATTTTTTCAAAGACAATTACATATCTTTTAATAACTGCAAAAACAATAGAACTCGAGAAAACCTCGTCATTTTTACAAACATGGTAATTTTAGCGTTAACGCAAAGCATTTAAAGTACATTCATCCAAAGACCTAGCAAGCTCATAAAACGACTTACAATTAATAAAAAGGATGCCGAGCGTCTGTTTCAGGAACAAACTAGATTCGCCAATAGTCCAGATCTGTATCCGCGAACGATTCAGGAGCAGTATCTTCAGCAGTTGATCAGCGGTCCCAGCAGAGATCGTACACGAAGAAATTCCATCGACTCCACCCACCTTTATTACCGTTCCAGGGTAAACTTGACAGCTATCCCTCGAGAGCTATTGGTTTCTAATCCGATCTAATCTCCAATACAATTTAACACACGATTTCGATTGTGCCAGTTTCGTAGCCTCGGTGTGAACGTAGGCAGGAATTACAATTTACAACCTTTTACAGCGCAACTTCTACCTATCATTCCAACCGGAACTTCTAAGAAAATATTCTCTCCATTCAAATTTCTCTACGACTGTGTGACCATTAATCTAATAAACAACAAATTTTTGTTACGTGCTATAGATTGTTCTAGACTAGCCTTAATATAGTCTTAAGCCTGTAAGATTGTTCATTTCTCGTTGTTACTCTGCAGAAAGTGCATCTTACGACGATGAGACCTTCCTACAACTGTTTTTGACGTGTGCACCCTTCGTAAGTCTATTTTAATTATCGTCAATCGAATTATTCTTCGTGTTTCAGGAATCGAGCCAACCAAGATTCTTCGAAGCTGGCCCAAGCTCACAGGGAATTTCAACGTTGACACGACAAGGTTTGGAGATCGTGGAGCTTCTAAGGGAAGCCGAGAAGCACGGTTATTCCACGGATGATGTTCAGGTGGCCTTGTCACAGGGTGCAAGTAGCCCGATCGACTGGCTGAAGACGCAGTGGCCCCATTTGGTGGAAACTGTACAAGTTTTAGTTACTACTCAGGGAAAAGAACTGAAGGAAAACAATATCGGGGTGCTTTCCGCCATCGAGGCGAAAGAGGCCTTGAGAGCTACAAAGGGAGACGTTTGGAACGCTGTCGCCATGGCTGTTCAACGTAGACAGCTAAAAGTAAGAATTTTAGACGTATTTTTCGTTAGAATCTTTCGAATTGAAGGACGGCAACAAAGAGACGGCTCCAATATTTAAATTGTGTCTGTAATTATCAGAAGCGAAAGAAGTTCGTATTAATATGAATATTAGTTGACTATGAACTTGCAGCACGTTAGTTGAATTTTGTTGATTTAGTGAAATTAAGGAAAGTAGTACCGTCTTTTTGAAACAGATTCTTTAATCTTCGAATGCTATGTTGAACTTTATTATGAGAAAAATGAAACGGAAATTTGACAGTGCGAGGAAATTATGAAGAAAGGCAACTTCGCAATGGCGGAAGTGGTGAAATCATTGGAAAATAATTCTGGTGCCGAGGACGCGGCTTTGTTCGAGCTGCAAAAGAATCAGCTCAAGCCGTTCTTGATGAGAATCTGGGGTCCTCCGGTTGGGGTGGAAAACGATGAGGCTGCACCGCGGGAAGGTCAGTAAATATTACGTATCAATTATCTGATCATATCGAATAAAAAACAGATTGAATAATTTTTAAGTATAGCCTGTATAATAAAATCGCAGATGTATTGTACTACTTCATAATTAAAAAGTAATTTTAAATTTCTTAAATAATCCTCTTAAAATTAATCCTTATCATATTATTTGTTTGATTGGTATAATGAAATCGTGCATAATAGGAATCCTTTGATTATTTTACCTAGTATCATAGAAATATATCCTCGAACTTTTCATTATATAAATCTTTATATTTGATAAATATTCGTTTTACCAAAGCGATAGTTTCATTCTTAACTTTTCATTCACGATGATCGAGTTGAAATAATTTCAGATACAGCAGGTGCGGTCGGTGGTGGAACGGGAGGTTCCGAACAGGTTACCAACGTGTCGGACGCTGAAGCCAGGAAGCAGGTAATGTCACCAATCGTAGAAAATTTCGTCGCGTTGCAGGCCGACTTTCAAAAGCAACTGGCAGCCCTCAGACAACTGACCGATAACTGGCAACATGACAAAGACCCCCTGAATACGTTCGGTAATAAGCCTGATAATCTGTATCAAGTTAACACTGACGATCGAATCGTTCTAATCGATAAAAATCTGGTCCCAAGGGCCGTACAAGACCTCGATGTAGCCAGCACTCTTAAAACAGTGGAGAACGAGGAACCAAAACGAACCAATCAAGACGATACTAAATTAATAAGAATTAATCAGACTGATACGTCCATTATAACTGAAAAACAAGACCAAAATAACAATTCCACTATAAAGGTGATTAAAGAACAAGTTCAGAATCTATCAGAAAATTTATTAAACCAGAATCAGATCAACGTTGAAAAAAAATTAACGATAGAAAAAATTTCACATACGAAAGAAAATGAAAAAATTCGATCGGACGAGTTGCAAAAAGAAAATATCGATGTAACTAAACCCACATTACCTGAGGATATTGATCCAGCTGCTGTACCTAAGGACAACGACCCAAACATCAGTATTTCGATAAATTTAATTGAGAAAGACATCCCTAATCAATCAGAAAATTTGTTAAAGGAGAATCCGAGTGAACAAAAGATAAAAGAGATCTCAGTTCCTGATACAAAAGAAGGTAGAAGCGTAGATGAAGAAGTTAGTGTCTCGTCTTCCAGTATAGTAGAAGAATCATTGTATAAAGCAGAAGCCAAAACGAGCGATGTAACCAGGTCGAAAAAGAATGTAAAGCAAACGGTGGAGATGAGTTTGAAAGTAGCTGAGGTAAAGGGCGAGGAAGGTGGTTCACGCGTAAAAGAAAGCGAAACGACGTCTCAAAAGATTTCAGACGCCGGTCAAAGCAGCCAAGGAATAGATAAAGCTTCTTCGTCGCGTTCGGAGAAAAACGAATCGCCATCCCAAAAGCCTTCTGATCCTCATCAAAGAGCTGTGCAAGTAGATAAAGGCTCTCCTTCAGTGGAGAATGTCCCTTTGCGATCTAACGTATCGGATCACGGTTTACCCGAAAGTGTATCGAAGACGTCCGAATCGGCTCGAGGTTCTTCGCAAACTGGAATCGAACGAGCCGACTTAATAAACCAAATGTTGAAACAAGGCGAAGAGTCCCTTCAAAAGGCAACAACTTCTACAGAATTAATTAAGAGTTTTAAAAATTCCGGCGAAAACGGAGACGCGGGGATTTCAGAGAATATCGACGTAACGAGTAAAGAAACGACGGGACCATTGGATAAATTAAGGCCTATAAAGGAAGATACGAAAGTAGAATCGGGCAACGTTATCGAACAAGCGCAATCACCGATAATTACGGCTGAGAATGGCTCGACAGATCAAAGTTCTGAAAACGTCTCGCCGGAAGCTCGTCCAGAAGGCAACGAGACGCAAGTAGCCACCGTGGAGGCACTGTTATCTGCCGTGAAATCGCTGCCAGAGCAATTACTGGGCCCTTTCATATCGGCAATGCAAATGCTGTCGTCGAAGAAATCGAGCAACGAGACCGATCGAGCGAACGTTATCGAAGTTGTAACAGAAGATCAGAATTCCACGTCTTTTCAAGCTTCCAGCGAAACTGGGTTTGGCAAGAATGAAAATGTACCTCTGGGAAGCGTCGAAAATGCAGAGGAGCTTGTATCGGATGTAGTCGAAACTGTAACAACCGAAACGACCGCGACTGACATCGAAAAGCTACATGATCTCGAAACGGTACGTAAAAACGAAAAAAGCGATAATATTTCGCATACTAGCGCAGGAGGAGCGACAATGGAGGTGAAATTTAACGGGAATCGGGTCCCAGGAGACACGATAACACTGTTGCAGAGTGGAGAGAAACCTGAAACAACGATAACTAAAGTAAGTTCGCCAGAAGCCGCGAATAATATTAACAACGATGAAAAGCTAGACAAGGTACCTAATTATCAGGTCCAGTTATCAGGTCCAGTACACGAAATCACCAGTGATAGATCAAAGGTATCTTCGGTAGAAGTCGATTCATCTCATCGTTATCATCCGGACGCGAATCCGGAAATCCATACATGGAACGATCCACCTATTCATGAACGATCATCGTCAAAGGAAGCTGGCAACTCTTCCGTGACCGGCATCAAAGATCCTCGACTTAACAATGCATCTTTGAACAGCGAATCACTCATAAGCGATAGCTCGATGAAACACAACGGGACCATTGGCGCACAATCATTATCGGACAAGATATCATCCTCGGTCGCATGTGACTCGGGAACGTGTGAATCATCCGACATGCAAACGTCTATCATCGAGACTCGACCTAGCGATGATAACCGCGTGAAATTAATTGATGGCAGTTTGATGACTGACAATAGAAGATCTGAGGATGTTATGTCTGATCGTATATCGCATGATAATAATCATACTAATTCGGTCGTGACCCAGGTAGCAGCATCTTCTCAGTTAGTTAACTTTGAAAATAATTCTGTAGATTACAAAGTTTCCGAAAATTCTAAAATTGAATCGCAGAAAATTTCTGAGGATAATCTTGTTAGAAATTCTGAGTGTAGAATTTTGGAAGATTCGAAAATTGCTCGAGATGAATTTTCTAAGGAAAGTGGAGTTGCTATTGGAGATTCTTTAAAAGATTCTAAAATAGCTCAGGAAATTTCTGCAGATCCTAAGAGTGTTGTAACTTCCAAAGATTCCAAGATCGATGAAATTCCTAGTGATCCTAAATCCTCTGAAATTTCGATGGATTCTGGTATCGTCACACATGATGTATCGGAAAATAGAACCTTTACTGAAGAAATTTTTGAAAATTCTAAAAACATTATACCTAATACTCCGAAAAATCCTGCATCTATAATCTTTGAAGTTTTAAAGAGTTTTATATCTACTTCAAATGAAGTATCTAATGATCCCAAAATTCTTATTCAGGAAGCTTCTTCGGATTCGAAAACTGATCTTCACGTAGCTTCTTCAGACTCCAAACTTATTATCCATGAAGCTTCAGAAGATCCTAAAGCTAGTTCGAAAAAAATGTCTAATGATTCCAAAATTACCATTCACGAAGTTCCAAAAAATCCTAAATCTAGTTCAGATGAAACATCTATCGAATCCAAAATTCTTATTCAAGAATCTTCGAAAGACCTGAAAATTGTTGACGAAACTTCTTCAAGTTCTAATATTATTGTCCATGAAGTTTTAGAAGATTCTAAACTTAGTTCACATGAAATATCTACTGATTCCAAGATACTTACCCAAAAAGCTTCGAAAGATACGAAAGCTGTTATTGAAGGAGCATTTTCAGATCCCAAAGTTGCTAACCATGAAATTTCAGAAGATTCCAAATCTAGTTCAAAGGAAATATCCAATAATTCCAAAATACTTAGCCAAAAAGCTTCGAAAGATTTGAAAACAGTTATTGAGAAAGCATCCTCAGATCCCAACATTGCTAACCATGAAGTTTCAGAAAATTCTAAATCTAATTCAAAGGAAATTCCTAATGACTCCAAAATATTTAGCCAAAAAGCTTCGAAAGATTTGAAAACAGTTGTTGAGAAAGCATTCTCAGATCCCAACATTGCTAACCATGAAGTTTCAGAAGATTCTAAATCTAATTCAAAGGAAATATCCAATAACTCCAAAACACTTAGCCAAAAAGCTTCGAAAGCTGTTATCGAAGAAGCATCTTCAGATCCCAAAATCGCTAACCATGAATTTTCAGAAGATTCTAAATCTAGTTCAAAGGAAATTTCTAATGACTCCAACGTTTCCATTGAGGAAATGTCGAAAGATTTAAAAACTGTTGACGAGATTTCTCAAAATTTTAACGTTGGTATCCACGAAATTTCGAAGGATTTCGAAGCTATTCCACGCGATGTTCCCAAATGGCCATACACTAATACTCCTAAATCAACCCAAGAATCCAAGGTTCAAGAAATTCCTAACAAACCAACAACAATCGTACACGAAACTTCGAAAGCAGTTTTGCATGTGTCTGAAAAAGTAGAGCAGTCTATCTCTGTCGCATGTCACATTCCCCAGAGCAACGACAAAATCGATACTTCGCCAATAACTTCAGCAAGTAAGTCTGTCGACTCTAAAGAAACTCACGAACAAATTAATATTCATTTAAAACCTGTCAAAGACGATCACCCTCTATCGGTATCTCCTACAAAAAATAACGATATAACAAAAGACTCTTTGATAGAGATAAAAAAAGATTCTTCGACGATCGTGGAACGAAATAATTCAAACAAATCGATGGAAACAATCGATGCGAACAACGAGTCAAAAATAGAAAAGAATGGCCAAGAAATATTTTCTGGCTCTATTTCGAACAAGGTCGAGGCAAATACAGCTTGCGAAGCAATAGCGAATATCGAACCGGCAATAGTAACTATCTCGAGTGACCCTCGTATTTCCGGTTCCTCGTTGACCTCGCATTCTTTGGACACCGAATCTGCCGTTAACAAGCTAAATTCTACGGATACTAACAACATTCCTAAGAACCTCGTTGTTCCTAATAACGATATGTCGTATAATGCATCGAACTCGAACGAAGAAAGTCAAGTTGTCGAGCTAAATCTGACCGATACGAATCTCGAAACTTACATCGTTCCTAACGTGCTTGGAAACGTTAACGAATTTTCCAGTTCGATTCCCTGCAACGATGAAAGTATCACGAAGGATTCGAACAATAACGCGTCCCATTTATATCCTCCAAGCTCGAGTGAAATCGAAGGGAATGAAAGGCAAGAAGATAAGAAAGCAGATGCTGCATTATTTATTAAAGATTCTGTAAATATATTAAAATTCGAATTAAGCGTTAATTCCAATAATAAAAATCCAGAGACTGAGTGTTCGATCGTCGATAATATTAACGATGTTCCTCCAGGAGTACCTGAAACTATAGAGATTAAAATCATGGAATCTCCCATGTTAGCGGTGAACGATTGTGCGCCAATAAAGGTTCTAGAAAGTCCATCAGAGAACGAAGTAAAACCGATTGAGACGGCGAAATTGCAAACAGAAAGCGCGACCGAAGCACGCAAGATCGTGACGATTTCGGGAGAAAGCGCGGTAGACGTTGAAAATAATGAAGTAGATGCAAATGAAGTTGATAAGACGGTTACCTCGAGAGTTGCAGTCAAGGAGAGATCCAAATCTCCTGCCAAAAAGGTCGGCAGAAGGAGGTCTCCCGTGAAAGTCGTTAAAAAATCTACCGGCATACCGAGAAGGAATTTTGGAAAAGTTAGCCCGAGAGGCGCAACGATTGCAAAGGCGAAAGATGCCGCGGCTGAAATAACTCGAAAATCGACTTTGTCGAACCAAAGGAGAAGTCCAGGAAAAACAATCGCAAAAGTCATAAAGATCGTTCCATCGAACAGTTTGATAAATAAAACAAAATCAGCAGCTAATACTAGACAGAAGCAAGTTTCAAAAGGTTCCAAATCGACGGAGAAGAAAGTGATTCCGGAAAGGAAGTCGACAATCTTGAGTACGTTGTCCAAAGGTTGTGAACAAATTAAAAAATCAATTATGAATGCACAGACTAACGATAAAAATAGTGGAATGACGGTTAAAAAATCTTCGAAAGGGAACGGCACGTTAAAACATTCTTTCCTTTCGAGGATTCCCGTATTCACAGCGAGACGTCGACTTCCACAAGTGCAAGAGACTCCAAAAAGTTCTCAGCAATCTCTGAAAGCGGCATCCGGTGACGAGTTAACTAGCACCTCGGCGAAACCATCGATTACCCAACAAACAGCAAGGAAAAGTAGTTCGTCCGAAAGCGCTTCGAAGATCAGAGCAGAGCGAAAAATTGAGCCGGATAAAGTCGGAAATTTAAATGACAAAAAGACGCTAATGGTAAAAACTGCAATCACTCGGGCGAAGACTTGCGAAAGGAGCGAAAAAACGAAGTCAGCGATGGCATCGGAGAAAAATGACAAGGAAATAGACGTGACTGGGTCCAACGAAGATCAAACGATATCTAAGAAATTGGATTTAAATGATACCACTTCCAGCGAAGAATACGAGCTGGAGGAAGTTTCTGATAATGACTCTTCCACTTCCGACTTCGAGAGCGCAACGGAATCTGAAATATCAGAAACGGGGAAGCAGCTTTCCGATCGCACGTCGGACAGCATCGAGGAGTTAACCGATGCTGAAATCATGCTACAGGAAACAATCAACGCGATAAAAGCAAAAATATCCGACTCTGAATTCGAAGATTCTGAAAATGAATACATAACTGATAATGACAGCCAAGAAGATTCTAATTCCAGTGAAACTCGCGTGAACGTGAAAGACTCTTCTTTCGAAGAAGAAGAAGAAGAAGAAGGAATAGAAGAAGTGGAACAAACAGATAATAAAGAACTAAACTATATTTCGTCTGAGGAGGACGAAACTCTGAGAGCTGATAACACTGACGTAAAGGACCAACGAAAGCAAATGACAAATTCACACAACAATACCAAAGAGACATTAAAAAATACCACTTCTAAAACTCATTCCATTAAAAAACCAAAAGAACAGTTAATACCACTAAAGAACAGCAAAGACGCAATTAAGGATAAGCCTGGTAAACTAAAGGGGAAACTTGAGATGAACGATAACTCTGGTAAAAACGGGCAGAATAAGACAGATCCTAAGACTGAGGTAACGAAAGCGAGACGTACGAGCGACAAGCGAGTGAAAGCGAGTCGTAGAGCGAGCACAGGCTGTGATAGAGGGGTAGATCAGGGAGGAACATCGAAGAAACGATTCTCCTTGGTGGCCAGTTGTATCCGTCGGTTCGAGGGCGAAGAAAATACGGAACGGGAATACGTGGAAAGTAGAAGCGGCAACTTGAAGACAGGGGGATCTCCCAAAACGGAGAGGGAGGTCAGTAGACGTCAGTTGTCAGAATCAATTGTCGACTTTGTCAGTACTTGCCGCTGACAGACCAATGTCTACAAACAGCTCGATCAAAAGTGTTGAAACAGCGGATGAGACTTAAAAAAAAATCGCACGAAAAAAAGAGAGAAAAAATACCCGACAGACTCCCGTTAAAATTTTAACCCTGTTTTGACTGTATCTTTTAAGCACACTCTTTTTTCCACCCAACTAGCGTACAGTTGGCTCTTTCTCTGTTTGCCCGAGGTAAGTACTCCTCTTGTTTCTCCCCGTGACTAATATTGCTGTTGTATAGCATGTCGCTTTGTTTCGCGTTGCTCCGCTGTGTGTTTAAATTAAAAAGTAACAGAACAGTGGTGTACACGCGAAAACGTACTCGAGGTTTGTATGCACTCCGCGAAGAAAGCACACCGAGAGTTTAATTTAATATCGTGGAACACGACTTTTCCATCATCCAATTTGTCGGATGCTTTCGGGGATTTTATAGTAATTTAAACGCACGCGAATAACACGCTCTCTTCCGGCACGATCGTTTCGTTCCAGGGAATAAAACAACATCTCTTAACGTGCTTCAAAGAACACAAGCATTGAGCAATTTTTTAATTGTTTACGGTCATTGTGTATTCCGTGTTCGTCATTCTGTATTCTTTACGATCGTTCATTTACGTATTAATGTTCCATAATGTCACTTTCAGTAGTTTGTCCGTGACAAATAAACACGATATTAATATTTTATTCACGGACTGGACGACGTTACCTTAAAAATATGCAGAGCTCGTTTCTAGACGTTGGTGTAGTATCTTTTTATCGTATTTTTGCATGCCCATTGTCCTTGTATACTATTCTGTGCGTCAATCTTTACCCTAAGTCTCAAAAATTCCATAATTTATCTCATAATTTCGGTATTATTTTTAATCGTATTTTCACATTAAATGGATGTGATATACGTGTAATTATCATATCAGGTCCGTATTGTTTGATGTACACAAAATTGACCGACACTGTTTTCGCCGACACCAAACTTTGTCAACACTAAACTTTATCAGGAACAACTTTGACTGACAACATCGATAATCGACACAAAATTCGACAAACTGTTCACAATGAACTCTGGCAAAGTACAAACTTGTTTTCTGGTATTGTATCTCGCTTGAAGAAATCTAGTCCAGAGCACATTGGAGCAGATTTAAAAAAATATGTTTTGACCAAAAATCGGATTCTCCTCGCCCCCTGCCACGAATTGGTATTGGTTTGGTCTAGACCTGTTTGTGCGAGCGAGTAACGTGACCGATTCTACCACTCGCTCCTATCCAACACAACATAAAACACTTGTCAATCAACGATTCACCGATTGATAGTTGTCGACTAATTCTTGTACTCGGTAGAAATCGACGACACAAATGTAAATATCGTCGACGAAGCTCGGTGACGAAGAAAACATTGTCGGTGAAATGATTGCCGGTAATCTAAATATGTCGATGACTAAATATCGTGGTCACGATTCGGTGTCACTGAAATCGTGTCGATGACATGATTATCCATGAAATGATTCTCTGTAAAGTAAATGTTGTGAGAATTTCCTCTGCACTTACAGAGAATTGCTCGACGTCTCTTAGCGGAAGGAAAAGCGTCGAACTACGATGAGGCGGAAGTGGCCGCTAGTTTGCTGGCCTTGAAATTTGGAGACGTCGAGGCTCTTCATGCGGCTAAAGAGTGTTCCAGCGTAGAATCGGCATTGGCTTTCTTGCAACAAGAATGCGAACTTTGTACAGGTCGCTTTGCGATGAGTCAGGTACTTGAAACAATACAATACCCATTATTTCATCTTAGAATACAAAACTTATCTTTTATTTGAACTGATCATGAGTAGACTGCGAATGTTCATGCATGTATAAAAGATTGAAGCCTACAAAAATATATGGAATACAGAGAGACTGTAACACGTAAGAGTATACAAAATATGCTAAGTACTATTTATAACATTGAAAAGATTAGAATATTCAAATGAAACCCTTGTTTGAATTCTAGTTCTTTGATAATGTAGACAGAAATTGAAATATCCATGAATATTCGCAGTATAATTGAATTTTAATTGAATTAAAACACATTTTTAATCCCAGATAGTGTCCATGCTGAAATGCGTGCACCGTTGCTGCAACGAGTGCGCGAAGAACTACTTCACCATCCAAATCAGCGACAGAAATATCACGGACGCAGTTTGTCCATTTTGTAAGGAGCCAAACCTAAAAGACGCCAACGAAGACGAGGTGTTAGAATATTTCAGTAACCTGGACATACAATTGAAAACACTTCTAGATCCTCCGATTCATGAACTCTTCCAAAGAAAGCTGAGAGACAGAACATTAATGCAAGATCCAAACTTTAAGTGGTGCATTCAGGTGTTTCTTCTATATAAACCGTACAATCCTCTTTAGTCGACGATTGGAGAAACGTCATGTGTGTTGTTTTCAGTGTTCAAGCGGATTTTACGCGGATCCGGATCAAAAGAGATTAATATGTCCCGATTGTCGATCAGTCACGTGTGCACTGTGTCGAAGACCGGTACGTGCTGACGTTGATAATTACGCGAAAATTAAATGGAAGTTACGCAAGCGCGGACAAACATCCTCTCTGACGGTGGTTTCACTTTCAGTGGGAGAAACAGCACGAAGGAATTACGTGCGAGCAATTTGCTGCTTGGAAAGACGAGAATGACCCGGATAATCAAGCCGCTGGCTTAGCCAAGCACCTCGCGGATAATGGGATAGATTGTCCTAAATGCAAATTTCGCTACTCCTTGTCTAGGGGAGGTAAAGTATTTCAACTAGCTCTCAAGCCTTAATTACTTGAATTGCAATGAATTTTTCTTAAAATGCTGCTAACTTTAAACAAAGAATAGAGCTTTCATAGGCGACGCATTCAATTGAGTACAAAGTATTCAAACAATTGCTAAATGAATTTTCCCTGAAATATTGAAATACATTGCTATCATTAGACTGCGGACATTTTTAAAGGAATAAGAAGAAATAGAAGCTAAATATAGATTTAATTCACCTACTGAAAATTGTGACGAATACTCTACATACTTTGGATATTTTATATATTCGCAGTCTATTATAATCCAGAAATAAATTTAAATAACTCTTACCTAAATTAACCGATGCAGGATTTCATGTTCGTGTAACTTCTCTATGTATTTCAAATATCTTTATCAGTCGAGTAGGCAATTAATTCTGGATAAAAGATATTTCTTAATTGAAATACTAATTTCTGATTAATGTTAACGATAAATACTGAAAATGATACTTTTTCGTAGGTTGTATGCATTTTACATGTAGCCAGTGCAAGTACGAATTCTGCTGCGGTTGCGGAAAGGCATTCATGATGGGAGCAAAATGCTCGGTCAGTCAGTATTGCGCGAAACTGGGCCTTCACGCACACCATCCACGAAACTGTCTGTTCTATCTTCGAGATAAGGAGCCCATGCAGTTGCAACAGCTGTTAAGAGATAATGGAATCGAGTACGACACAGAGGGTCCGGCTGGCGAACGCAAGTGCAAAGTGCAATTGCAGAAAGAAACTCCCACCGGTGTTGTAGATGCGGTATGCAATTCAGATGTCGTTGTGGGACACGCTGGCTTGTGCAGGTAATTTGTTTGTTCCCCCGTAACTCTGCATGCATTCGCCGTTATTACGACCACCACTTTTATAATTGAATACCTTTCTCGATGAAACCAAGGTACCGTTGCAATTATACGAAAAAAAGCTCGTACAAATTATCATATTAGAGGGCTAAAAAGAATAAAAATGACTAAGAATAAAATAAATTAAAAAAGGAAGAAAAAACGATATAACTTGCGAGTAAAATAAAAAATAATGCTTTTGAGGCCTTCGTTGTTATCGTTCTCCTTTCTAATACTTACTAGTTACTATATTAAACAAAAAGAAAAACAAATCTATTTAAAGAAGTAGAAAACATATAATAAAAGTGTTTATTTATTTAAGCTTTGAGCCAACACTGGTCCATAAAAAGTAATGTAAATGTTAAAAAAATAGTGTCCTTTTATCATAACGAAATATTCAAATATTTAGGATCCACTATATCGAATACCTAGTTCGAAAGATCCGGGAGACCCAACTGGAACCGCTTCCCTTGTTAAACGTAGACGATCTCGAGACTTGCGTGAAACGTGCGGGGATCAAATTGCCCCCGAATTGGTACGGTCGTGATCCGGAACATTACAAGAGGGACTTGATCGAGGTAAATGAAAAGGCATCGTGCATTGCACGACTAAATTCTGGGTACTTTTCCCCGCAGGCAGCACTACATTGAGTACTTGGCGGGCCTGGTACTGAAGGGCAAGCTGGATCCCGTGGCGATCTTTGACTTGAACGATGCCAAGCAAGAGCTGCGCCGTCGGGGAAAAGTTCCCCCTGCGAAGGACCAGGAAATGTCCGAGCGGGATTATCTCGAGGCGTGCATTCAGGTGACTAACAACTCCTCTCCTGTACTCCTGCCCCGACACACTGACCGAATTAACAAGAAATGCACGAAAGTAGACCTTCACGCATGACTTTCGCAACCGAAAAGTGCGACGTGGTGACGCGCACGCGCCTGCACGTTGCTAAAAAATAGAGATCTGCAATTGTGGATTAGAATTTGGTTTTATCCTCGTACATTCTGTTTATTTTTATCTTGAAATGAATAGTAATTTTTCGTACCATTGGGAGGATTTTATTCGTGACATCTAATGTATGGACGTTTTATAGGTTGTACGGAAGGAGATTCCGCTGGAGTGATAAATGGGTAATAATTAATGAAGGACATTACGTGAGTTCCGCTTCTAATACATCATGTATAGTGTATTTATTTTATCATATGGACAGTGATGTAGAGAACAATTATTGACGATTAAAGTAAACAAAGATTGAAAATTGTTTAGTATTTAATGTATAAAAGTAATCAGTCTTTTAGTATAGAACTTGAAAACTAAAATATCAATTTTTTTATTCTTCTCGCTATCTTCTTTTTTTGGTTTATGTATAAAAGGGTTACAGATGTTTTTTATGTAATAAACGTGAATTTCTGTTAATAGAAAATTTTATAAAACACTTTAACAATAAACTAATTTTCAACAAAGCTCTGTTAAGAAACTATGTAAACTCTTCCTTTTTGGAGGTGTTGCACCTTGATTTATTATGTTTTTTAATCGATCTATATTAATCATTTTTATTTTCTGTTGAGTTGGTGTAATAAAATTTGCAGTGCTCCTAACTTTTTTTATGTTGGTTTCTTTCAATTCCTCGGTTTGAACATTTTTCTCATTCAAATTTGAAATTCCAGAAACATTTAAGCCAGCTGTCCTATCCTTGGTCCTCTTCTTCTTCCGTTTTTTTGATCTTTCAATACTTTCTGTCCTAATTTTTTGTACTTTTTCCCTTTGTGGTTTATTAAAAGATATTCTTGTACTTTTTGAACAAACTGAGCATTTAAGTACCAATTTGTTCATTTTATTTTTTAAACATTTTTCTGCCAAACTTCTTTGAACTTCAGGTATTCTTTTCTTACCATTATTCATAGAGTGTACAATTTTTTTTATGGATTTAGAAAGTGGTTTACCTGGTGATAATCTAATGCTATGATCTATAGTATTCCAAAGTGATCCACAATATGGGCACATCACAGAAGGACCAAAATTTTGAGACGATGGTTGTATTCCACGCGTATACTGCCTACATCTTTCTCTAATATACAATAATATTAATTATTTAGTATGTAATCAATTTTTTATTTACTCAAAAATATATATAAATATTCAAATAAATAAAATACAACTTACATGTAAAACGTTTGCAAATTCCTACTTTGCGAACAATTTAATTTTGTAATAAATTGATTCACGTTCCATAAATGTGTTAATTTTTCCATATCTGTTTGTTTACACACACGAACGTACGAAAAAAAAATTCATAAATAGAGCATTGTTATGGAGTGTTAGGTTAGAGCTATTTACACTACATACAGATAATATGTATATCTTCAATGATAAAATACAAACTTCCGTTTAAACAGTACGTGATACCATTTAGCTGTTTAAAATGTCATTAAATGCGAAAAGTATACTGACGAGCGAAACTGATCGAACTGTGTAAAGTGTACTACTATACGAACGATAAAAGTGGTAGTATGACTCCTAAACAGATTACGCTAATGCTTCAAAAAATTCTGGACTTTTATAATATCATTACCAATTAATAGTGCTCTTTGTTTTCGTTAGAAAAGTAGATAAAAAAGGAAAAAGTAACCTCCAAATACGATTACATTGGAGACGTCACAATTATTGAGTAACAGGGTAGCCAACCTGTGAAAATGTTACAATGCCTGTAGGATTCCTAAACCAATCCATTAAAGATCCGTAATGTTGAAACCAATGTATATCTCGTTTCGGTGAATAGTTTCTGTTCTATGAACAGACAGAACCACGCAGGGTGTTAGAAAAATTTTTATTTTGTCATCCTTGTCATCGAAGCACCGGGAGTACTGTCAAACAATACTTGAAATAAATTGTTGTCATTAAGGGGTAAATTAATAGATCGACATGGGAGACGGGAAGAAGGGCGAACGACAGCCGTTGTTAAAAAATGAAAATGTCACTTATAGTTCACACGGCAGCGATTTCGTTGGTAAATAATATTCGATTTTGATCACGGAAGAATTAAGTTTGTTTAATCCAATTGCTTATGGTTACCTCTACTACATTTTACTTTAGATGAAGTGGAATCGACTGTTAGTACAGTATCTGCAATAGGTCCTGATGAAGTGCCACCTCCATACGAATCAAGTAGTCAATGTGGCAAGCCTATGGTCACTTGTAGGGTTTGTCAAGCTATGATAGATATTTCTGGTAAAAGAGATCAACATGTTGTTAAATGCTGTCAATGTAATGAAGCTACAGTATGTTATCAAAGTAATTTAATTCACTGGAGTTCATTCTCATATCGGAAATGAAAGCCACAAATCACTTTTTTAGCCCATACGAAATGCACCTCCTGGAAAGAAATATGTCCGTTGCCCATGTAATTGTTTATTAATATGTAAGAGTTCTTCACAACGTATTGCTTGTCCAAGGCCAAACTGTAAACGTATTATTAATCTTGCTCCAAGCCCAATTACACCACCTGTTTTATCTATGCCTGGAATGTGTAGGGTATGCTGTGGTCATTGTCATGACACATTTTTGGTAAGGATTTACATAAGAACATTTTATATGATTGAAATATCTTAATAATTAATATATGTGTTATTACATTCTTTAGTTTAATACCTTAAATAATGCTTTGGCTCGATGTCCACATTGCCGAAAAATATCTTCTGTTGGTCCAGATTTTGCTAGAGGTCGAGGTATTGCATTCACTATTGTGGGATTAATAGCCTTAGTAATTGCAATAGCTGTAACTGTAAGTATTTTTATAACACCTGATATATTAAAAAAATTACATAATGGAGATTTATGGTAATTTAGATATATTTTAAAACATATTACAATTTATACCACTTTATTTTCAGGTTGGAACACATGCATATGCAAAAACTAGTGGTGGAATTTATGTAGCTTATGTTGGTGAGTATGATAAAATTTGTTCAAATTGAATTATTAATTGAATATATAAACTTCTTGCATATAAACATTTATTTACATTTACATATTATTCAAGTAATAAGTTGTCTTTTTTACTAGGTTTGTTTTTAAAATTTTATTTTCAGGTGCATTTCTCTTGGCACTTTTGTGCTTTGGACGCAGCATTTATTATTGTACAATGAAAATTAGTATGATAGAAGGTCCAATGTAATACCCTAAATGACAATCAGTTGCTAATATTTTAAAACCAATTCCTCTAACATCTATGTCGTATAATAATATATTTAGATCAAATGTTTATAGTAATAAAATGACATACAAGTCCTTATAGGACAATTGGTACATTCTTACACATGCATATGTAAGTTTATATTGCTAGTAATGAGTTATATTCTTACATATACATATGCAAATGTACATGTTACGGATGAAGAGGATGTGTAACTGTAATGTATGACATTTTCTCACATAAGGTAATATATCAAAAAGTACTAGAAGTTGGGGTATCCATTTAAAAAACAAAGGATTGTTCCTCTGCACTTTTATATTGTCAAGCACAGGACCAAGACAACAACCCCATTATATTGTTTTCATATTTGAATGAAAATATACTAATGAAAATATGCTTTCTACATCTACAGTAAATATACAAAATGCACATATATACATACATAGATATATATGCAAATAAAACATTCTTGCATGAATATTCCAATTGTAAGCAGCTATACATACAGCTATATATATTGTGTTTGCAATTACGAACTTGCATTGTCAGATAACGAAAGAATAAAAATATCTTTTTAAGAAGAAATTATAAATCGATATCGTTTGACAGACGTTTTTGGGTTTATGTATTATTTGACATGCAAGTAAAATTATATAAAATACATATGTTGAACTTTACTATTTTATTACCATTGCTGCAGTTTAAATTATTGAATTATAACGATATCATTTTTTAGGAATGTAATTTTATTCAAGTGTTGGGTAACAAATAGTTGCAAACATTTAAATTTGTCGCATTTTTCAGACATAATATATTAGATAAAAGAGATTGAAATTAGAAACTTTGATATTATAAATGTTTCAGTAACATTTTTATTACTCAAGATATTATTTTAAAAGATATAAGTATATGAAATATGTAATATTATTAAATTGATTGATTCATTACTAAACAGCAAAGCTATTACTTCTGTTTTGTAATGGCATTCCAATCCAGAAAATTATTTATGTAATACTACATACATCATATAATATTTGCAATCTAAAACCATTGTTTAAAATTTAAACCTAATTATCTGACAATAAATAGTGATTGTTACAAATTGTAGTTATATTTGTTTCATTTTTTAGTGCAAACTCGACCTAAGCTTATACTTCATGTTCTAGTAACTTTACTCATACTTAGTTATGCATATATGTATATCTCACATACATATGTGTGTAAACACCACTTACCGCCAAAACTCAGTATGATCATACCAATAAAAAAGTATTACTTATTACTTAAGTTTCAGAAATATTGATTATTTTTATATTTGTCACAAACAAAAAGTGCTTTTTTGCTATTTTTTTAGAGATGGTGAATGTGAGGAATGGGCGATTGTTGAGTTACAAGGTGATTTAAAATTTAATTCCGTGAATATTACGAATGTATATATCGGAGATTTACACTTTACAAAATCTGGTACACCTATACTTATAATCGGCATTCATGTATTACAAGGAAAAGAAATGGCGCTTCAAAAACCATTTGCAGTTCTAGTTAAAAAAAAGAATGAGGAAACTAATACAGCTAATACTTCCGAAGTAAAAACGGCATACGTTATTAAAGCAATTGTAAAGAAGAAATTAATTTTTAAGTCTAGGCCGAAACCTATTGTAACAAATGTCCCAAAATGTCATTAAACATATGTATAAATATTGTACCTTATTGGTGTAATTTTATGGTACACTGTGCTATTGAAATAAACTATTGTGATATAAATATGAATGTATTGTTGCTGATAAATAAATTTACATAGGTTTAAAAAACAATTTGCTTTATTAATTTTTAGTCTTACGTAATTGTACTTAATCTTACTTAAAAATAAAAAGTATTATCCTAAATTGATTTATAAACATTATGGGAACTAGTCCTTCATTTCTCCTTCTTCATCTTCCTCTTCCACGCCTCTTATATACATTACATTATTACATCTGATTAAGACTTCACCGAGGTTGCCAGTACAATTTCCTTCTATATGTTCCTCTGTATTAGCTAATTGTAAATTCATATATCCATCGACGGAAACAAGATAACCTTTATATTCATGGCCCCATTTTAATTTTACCATAACTGGTTTTCCAGTTAAACCATTTAGAAATGGTTTTGGATTTATTGGCATTGTTGCAGCCATTGTGTAGTATTTTTCCTTAATTTCTGCAAAATATATTACACAGTGCATATATTGTTATAAATATTTAAAACAACAATTTCAATAAATATAAATAGATATATCACCTAAAATATATATGCAAATATAATACATAATAGCAAAAATTAAATTAAATGAGATACTGTTTGACAATTATATTAAATGTTGAGGTTAACTTTATATATATAAATATTGGGAATATATTAAAAACTTATGTATCGTATAATTGTGAAATTATTGTTATTTTTGATGAAAATTTTGTACTTACATATTTAAAAAATGATAAAATAGAAAACTCTCCGAATTTTTTATAAGTCCTATAAAAACAAGACGCTAGAATTTGAAGCAGCGTGCAATTGTGTTGTTAGAATCAGAAATGGCGCACGCTCTTAGAACACATAACCTAAATTTATCAAAACTTTTGTAGTAATTTGTGATTTCTATCAAAATACACGATAATTATCTGTATACATTTATATACATTTAACACGATTTATTAAAAGGATCTATTAATAAAATTAAAAATAAATAGAGTTATAAGGATATCTAATTTTAATTTGTTTTCAATAAAGAATTTGTGTTTTTCATTAAAAGTAATTACACTTTAAAAATGAACATTTTACCAAAGAAAAGGTATAATTAAAATGAATTCGTATATAATGAATATTTTCTTTAGGTACATTAAAATAATTATAAAAATTATTCCTTTTAGGTGGCATGTACGTACTAAGGAAAACATTGCTCGTGTACGACGTGATGAAGCAAAAGCTGCAGAAGAAGAAAGACTTAAACAAGAACGAATTCAAAAAGCAGTATGTATGAATAAGAATAAAACAGAAGCTAATTGTTCATTGCTTATGTAATCAATGGAGTCTGAAATACTTTTCTAGGAAACTGAAGCTAGAATTAATCTTTTGAGAGAGAAAGCCAGATCAAAATACGATGGACGAACAGAAGCATTGAAAAGTGATACAGATGCCTCATCTTCAAAATGGGATCATGTTAATTTTTTTGCTGAACTTGAACAAGGAAAACTTGATTATAATAAACCTAATGCAGAACATGAAAAAGAAAAAAAAGAAGAAAAAGAAAAGTACGAGAAACAGATTGGATATCTTACATATCTTGGACAAGATACTAATGAAGCAACAGGTAGGAAAAATTGGTATGAAGAGTTACCTGAAAGATTGAGAGACACAGGAAAGGATGTAGAAGTACAAGTTGAAAAAAAGACATTACATGATCCCATTCATGATATAAAGAAATATTTAAATATAATGGGATCTGGCTCTATAGAAAAATGTATAAAAATTAGAACAGGAACTATTAAAAGGAAAAGAGATGATTCAGATGAAAGTGATGATTCAGATCACGAAAAATTTTCGAAAAAACACAGACATAAAAAATCTAAAAAACATAAGAAACATAAAAATAAAGAAAGACAAAATGTAGAAAAGCCGAGTATAGATGTAGAAAAGTTAAGAGCAGAGAGATTGTTAAGAGAACAAACTGAGAAATTAAGGACAGAAGCTTTATTGGCTAAATTGAGAGGAGATCCAGTTCCAACAGTAGCACCAAAGACTCCTCCCAAATCCATTATCAAACAAAAATATAATTCACAGTTCTTCCCTGAAATTGCTAGACAAAATGCTGAAAGAACTCCTAGTGTACATCCAATGAGAGAACAGTAAAATGTAAGTTGCTTTTTATTTTATAATTACATGTATTTCTTTTATTGTGCTAATATTCATTATTACTACAATTATGTAAACATCCATATACATATGTAGATATTTGTATAAAATTTCATAACATCTATGCTTAGTATCTAATACATTAAGTCATTTGTAAAATATAAAATATAACACAATATGGTATATATATATTTCTTAAATAGTACTATTTTATAAAGCGCAATAAAATACAAATAAAAAGAAAAAAAAATGAATTTTAAATTATTGCCAAATGAAATATCAGATATCCCTCGTTTTACTAGATTGTGCTAAATTTCGCGGTATGACGTGATGCAAGATGGTGGAATATCACGGATCTCATGGATAATGTATTAAAACTTGACGTTTATGTCATTTTTTCAGTATTCTTGTTCATCACTTGACTTAAATAATTTTCTCGTAAGTAATATTCTCTCCTTGTATATATATTAAATATTTCCGCTCAAAATTTTGAAGCCCCATTTTGAAATCTCGAACCAGACGCATAGAACGCGCGAGTTACTTTCGCGTAACATGATTTTCGAATTTGAACAGTTATGAATATACTTAATTACGGAGAAATGATAATTTGTGAAAGCTTTTATTTTACGTCGTTAAAATATAACAGCTTAACTTCAATTATTGTTAGAAGAATTACATTTTTAAGTCATGTTACGAATCGACCTTAAGATAACCTCTTCACTAATTTATACAAATATCGGCATTTCAAAATGTAATTATAAATAATTCATTTATTTTGTATACTTTGAATATAGTGATGCGTACGTTTAGTGTAGTTTATAAAATTTTATATTAAACAGGTAATGTATAATTCAAGTAAATAAATATTGAATATTGTGTTATTGAATAGACTGTGCTATATATATGTACTCTTAAAATCTCCGTGCGAGAATATTAGTATATTATTGGTTATATATTCTAGTTTCTATGTCTAACAATATCAAATTTTGCTTTGTTAGTTATGTTTAAAATCCTTGTATAATAGGTGGAAATAAATATTCGTTATTAATTAATTGTAAATTATACTTGTATTACAGGCAAGATGTTACTATTAATTTAAACGTCAAGAATTTTATAACGGTATGATTTAATTAAATATCATCACCATGAATGAGGAAAGAAGTGTTGAAGATTCTTCATATTTAAGTTATGAAATAAATGGCACTAGATATATTTTACAAACTGTATCAGATCCAGCTATAGATATATCAAAAGCTGTATCAACCACTCAAGAACAAAATACAATTAATCTTATAAATGAACCACAAGTAGAAAAAGATGATGAATCAATTTCTTTAATTTGCTTAGATGGTCAGGTTTATGCGTTTCATAATGGAGAATTACAAGAATTAGATTTTAGTCAAGTAATAGATGAAAATGAATCACAAGAAAAAACAGTGTTGCTACCTAAAGAAGATGATAATTGTGAACCACAGTATATTACCAACGAAGGATTAGTAATTGGAAATATTGATGAACATTCTCAAGAACAATATGAAATTATTACTGGTCAAAATGAAAAAAATTTTATAATGGAGAAACATAATGTAAATGCTAATGATTTTGTGGAAGTTGTAACAGCATTTAAATGTAAGATATGTACTTATACCACTCAAGACAAAACACAATTATTACAGCATTTTCAGAAAACGCATGTAAATCCTAAAGTGGATATAGAGGTGAGCTACGATATTACTTATTTCTCTCCGAATACTTACATTGATATTGCATCTTTCAGATAAAAGAAGAATCTAAGATTACAGATGAAGTAAAATTGTTATATATGTGTGGAGAATGTTCTAATTGCTTTCCTTCTATTGAAGATTGTAAAGAACACATGATAAACGTAATTATTTAAAATTTATCTGGTCTGTTATAAAGGAAAGTAAATATAAAGATATCATATTAATGTTTTTTATTTTAGGATCATCAATTAACAGACACAGGAGCCAATAGAGGTGGTAAAGAAAATATAACAGATGATTCAAAAGATTCTGGGTTATTAGAGTGTATAGGACAGAGTGTTGAAAGTAATGATATAAAACGTCAAGTTAAAATTCAAAAACCTCTAAATTCTGAATATATGCTCAATAAAAAAATGATCGAATTAATGGAAAGAAACATAAAGTATATATATTATTCTTATGTTATATCAATCGTGTATATCAATCGTGTATATCAATCTTTTAAATCTATTATCTATTAAATTGTATATTTTGCTAGGTGTTCATATAGAGGATGTCCATACAAATTTTGTACAGAGGAAACAATGCAGCAACATGCACTTTGTCATACGGAATCACAAAATGGAACAGCATTTAAATGTAGCGTTTGCCGTGATATGAAATTTACCAAATGGAGACAGTGTAGCTTACATTTATGGAAAAAGCATCAAATTGGTAAGTATCTAATATCTATATCTGGACAATAAAATATTAAAACGTGATTTTTATTATGTATGTTTTCTTAGACATAGGATTATTTACTTGTAAAATATGTAAAGCATATAAAAGTGCAACAATGGTCAAACTTTTAACTCATATGCGTGTGCATAGTGAGACACGCGAGTATGAATGTTCAGAATGTGGTAAATGTTTTAAACAAGCCAGTCAATTGCGTAATCATAGAGTTATGCATTTGGATCGCAAAACATTGGAAGTAACGCGGTGGTATACTTCAAAAAAATGTGATATGTGTGGAAAAACTTATGCTAATTCCAAATGCTTGAAGAGTCATATTCAAGCAGTCCACTCAAAATTGCGACCATATGTTTGTAATGTTTGTGGACATTCTAGCGCTAGAAAAGCAATGTTGCAAATGCATTTACGACAACACACTGGTGACAAACCCTTTAGTTGTGAACTTTGCGAATATAAAACAGGTGATCACAATACGTTACGACGTCATATTATGCAACACACAGGTATGCATGATAATAAAGATGTGAAATGATGAAAAAGATGTGTATAGTACAAGGATGTATTTAAAAATTACAAGTATAAATAATATTTTCAGGTTTTAGACCTTATAAATGCCCTCATTGTTCTTATACAGCAATACAAAGTAGTAGTTATAAAAATCATTTGAAATCTAGACATCCTTTACTTTCTGGTTTATTTACATGTGACCTATGTCCTTTCAAAACTGTTAAAAATCAAAGTTATATACAACATGTAAGAGACCATGAAAAGGGATTAATCAAAGCGAATATGCAAAAAAAAGGTATGTTTCAATTTTGTATTTAATAGAATTAATGGATATATAAAAAAAAATAAAATTATATATTTTTTCAGATAGTGAAAATGTCGAAGTTTTTCCTGGTAATATTGCGGCGGCACAATTGATTTATAGTTGCTTAGGTGCCTTTTCAAAAGTGGGCGATACTTTAGAAGCAAATTTAATGTCTTCCTCAACGTCTGCAGACGGTACATCACAAACGATTACGATACAGATACCATCGAAACATCTTGAAGGTTCACTGCCAACAAGAGAATGTAGAACTAAAAGTAACTCAGCAATTGAACAAGAAGATGAAGAAACAATGCATTGTTTTTTAAAAATTCCAAGAGAAGAGGAAGAAAGTATAGACACAGGTGGTATAACTATACCTGCAGAACCTGAGGAATCAGGCGCAACAACTATTAATGTTGATACATGAAATACGGAATATTAAGTTGCTAATTAAAATATTCCTGTATATTTGAAAACTCCTAGAAATTTATACTTCAAAGTAAATGAAGAAATGCTAGTCACACGTTACTTAGAAGGTATGAATCAATTTGTTTTCTTTTGACAAGAAATTAGAATTAATATATTAATTTTTTTAAATTCTAAATCTGATACTATTTTTGGAATTGTACACTATATCAGCAAACACAAACAATAACAATTTAAGTGTTTTCGTTTGAAAAAAATTTTAATTTTGTACATTATTTTAAAGAAATGAAAACATATGCACATTCAATCAGTTAATTGCATTCACGGTTTCTATGTTCATATTTGTTCAAAAAATTGTTATTTTGTCCTGAAACAAGATTTTATAGTTAAAAGAATGTAATTTTGAGATATTTTATTTTAAATTTTACTAAGAATGTAATTTACTATATATTTAAACACATTTTTAAGATTTTGAATGTATTTATTGATAATTAATAAGAAATTAGTAGAAGTGTACATAAAAATTGTAAAATAATCTGGGAACCGTTGTAAAATGTAAATTACAATGTCTCGTATGGTTTACAATACGAGTAAAATAATATTTTACATGATGGACTAAAGAGAAATGCTCTGATATTTTTGACTTAATTATTCATCAGGTAAAAATAATACTTATTGCTATGGAAGATTCAATTTAAAATCTTTTTAAAAGATTTCGTATATTAATTATTGGATTTCACAAATATGTCCCCACAAATTGGAATTACGGTATCAATTTGCTTAAGTGCGAGATTTGTGAAAATGGTAACTGGTGGACATATGTAAACATATTATTTTTAAAAAATCCAATAGGAAAGTTTTAAAATATATTTAACTATATATATAAAATAAAAAATATATAAATTATAGCATATAATACAGTTGCCTTTTTATATGTATTTTGTAAAAAAAACGTGAAGTGAAATAAAAAATACTGTTTTTAAGGACATCCTAAGCAAATTGATACAGGTTATTATTTACAGCTAATTATTCATAAAACGTGAGAAGCTCCTTTTTTTAAGCAACTGATGTGGATCTTCCCGGAAATTACACCTTGTATCACAACTAACAGTCTCTGGGCAGTTCGCCATAATAAGCTGTTAAAGCTATTAGCTTTCTGTCAAGAAAGTTTTGTTCCACTTCTACACCACCACCTACTGCGGCTAACATGGCAAGCTGTAAATTTGTATATATATAAATAAAAGCAATTGATGTATAGTGCGTTATAAAGTAAAGTAACATAGAATATTGAAATTTTTCGAATCTTCTTGAATTATAAAAATTTACCTGCATTGTATCTACATTTCTAGGTAGAAAGTAGGCCACATGATCTGTGATTTTTCTTGCTATATTAAATAAATTTACACCACCAATGGGATGCATAATATTATTGAGATCAAATGTTTCATTCTTGGCATATTCAGGTCCTCCCCATGGAGGACTTAGAAACACAACATCTGCGCTTAACTTTGATGCGAGTTTAATAAAATCTCCAACAATGAATTCTATTCTGTCTTCAACACCATAAACTCGAGCATTATTTCGAGCAATTTCGATTTTAGCTGGATCTATATCTATTGCGAAAACTGTAAAAATAAAGATATTGAGTTTCTATGCTAATTACCCACACGCAACGAACGCACCTCTTTCACATGTGAAAGCAAATTGAATAGCGTTCCCTCCTGCTCCACAGAACGCATCGATCACGGTATCGCATTTGCATCGTTGAGCTATGTGCTGGGCAATTTTTTCTGGTGTTACAGAGTACCAGCTCTCTATAAAGAAAAGAGTAAAAAAAGTATTTTATTATAAAAATTTAAAAGTTCATAAGCACATTATCGAATAATTTATAAAATATTTCACTGTTAGTCTTTTGAAGATTACAAATCTTTATTATTATACATATAAATAATATCATAGAACATACCACGATCCAATTTAATGCCTTGATCAAATTTGCTAAATAGGCGGTATCTTTTGAACCAATATTTCATTAAAGTTTTATCATTGTCTATTTCTACTGGCAGGCTTACATTTCTTTTGGGTGGCTTCCTTCGTTTTTTCTTTTGCGTCTTCTTTACGCTATCTTCATCTGATAATTTCATACTTTGTATTTCGTTGTTACTATAGTTTTCATCTATATCCATATTGACATTTAGTACATCAAAGTTCTCTTGTTCGAAAACTTGATTTTCTGGTACACATTTTGTGGAATCGCTTGTTTCATCCTGATCAAAGTATATATTATTATCTTTGATACCTTGGAAAACATTGCCCTGTTTATCAAATACGTTTAAGGTATCGTGAACATCATCAAATTGTTTTTTATCTGCTCCTGAATCTATTGAACTTGTGCTTGGTTTACTAAATACAAATCGTTTTGTTTGTAACTTTGACTTAAGGCTATGATCACATTCATCATCAGAACTTGACGTCAATTGTGCTGTGTAGGAACCTTTTTCAGAGGGTTGTAATTCTGTCTTTGCTGGTGGCAAAACAGGACAGTATGATAAATAATGCTTCACCTGTAAAACAAAACACTAAAGATAAAATACTTATATATTTACGTTTTTATTTTAAAAAAAATTATTTACTTTATCTATAGTGTTAGTAATTTCCACTCCGTTATCATCAAAGTATATATGTTTATTTATTGGCTTGGGTTTATAATATTTCATTTTTAATTGTCTATTTTGTAACCTAATATTTTTTTTTCTATATACTACTTCTCCTTGAAAATTAGATTGTTCGTAATTTTCGTTGAAAGTATATCCCATCAATGAAAATGCTTTTTTTACTGATTCCAGGCCTTCTTCTGTGTCATCATAATCAGCCTCATGACTAAAATAAAAGATATATAGATAAATATTACATATTTTAACAGATTATAAACATATATAATGACACTGCACCTCCGTTTTAATGTTATAGGTTTATCTTCATTGGGCTCATCTCCATCTCCATCATTAGAATATTTACGTTGAATACTATTGTTGCCACTAGTATCATTGGAAATAATTGCACCATTTTCATTTTCTGTAGTTGAAGTTTGATCATGTTCAACTTCTTGTGAACATTCCATTTCATTAATTTTTTCATTTTTATGTGCATCAATTTCATCATCTTTTGCTTCCACCGTTAAATTTTGAATGAGCATTCCCACTGATTCCATAATTAATCGCTTCTTTTTTGTCTTATCTTTCTTAGAATAAGAAAAATTTTTATTAGGTGCAATTCTACTTTCAGGAATATTAATTTCATTAGATGTGTCTATTTCCCTTTGTGCAAAATCTTGGTCTATACTTTCATCACTTCCTTCCTCTTTCATATCTATATCATTATATTCCTGGCTATAACTTTGATTTCTAATTTCAGATTGCTCCCTTTTATATTTTTCTATAAATAGTTTATAATGATTTTGGTACTCTATTTGGAAATTTTCTTTCCATAAATGTTGCCAATACTTATCAGTATCTTCTGGTGTGTATTCCTGATCATTATCTTGATCAGAACTTGTGTTTGTTATATTGCTTTCAATGGAACTAGTTACAGAACTGATGAGACTAGATGAATTTGTAGAAATAGAGTCACAACTAGAACTAGTAAGGGTCATCTTTGTGACATTTGTCATAGAATCTGATGTTGCATTTGTTTTTGCTATTGACTCGTTAATAGAATCACACCTTGTTAAAAGTCTTTCATCTTCCGCATTAGATTGCTGGTTGTAACTTTCTTCCATACTAAAAGGACTTAATGGACTCCAACCATCTCCAGTTTCCAGTGATGCTTCAAAATTTGTCAATTTCTTTCTATTATCTTCCGCTTCTTTGTCACTTATCTCTTGCTTGCTTATGTCATCAAATGAAAAATTAATACTACACGTGTCTTTTGCTTTTATTTCATTATTACCAGCATTACTACTTTTGCTAAATATTCCCTCAAAATTTGAGCGATCAAGTTCACAATTTCTGTGTGCTTGACTAGGAAAACATGTATTTTGCTCTGAAAATTTTTCAATAGTATCTTTCATTTCTAACTTTTCATTACTTATTAAATGAGCATTTTGTTGCAAATATTCTGGATTTATATAATCTGCATATTTCCTAATCCAAGTTGTCCAAATTATACGTTCACCATTTTTAGACCAATATTTCTCCCATGCTATATCTATTATACTCTTAGTTTTAGAATACATAGAATAGTATGGATAGTCACACGAACTATGGTCACAGTTGTACTTAAGTTGGACATCTTCCTTATAAGTTTGTGTATCATTCAAAGAAACATTTTTAAATATATTATGTATCTCAAAACCTTTGTCTTCTAAAATACATGATGGATTTTCTATATGAAGTTCCTTTTCATTACAAATGGATGGATCATAACTTAAAATTTCAATGTTATCTGCAAGATGATCTGATGAGTGAATGTTTGTTATTTTACATTTAAATTCTACATCTTTATCTTCTTGGTGCTGTGCAATTACATTCACTTTGTCAAATTCATCTTCCAGTTCAGTCTCTGTATTTTGAAAAGTTTTCCCATAAGATGCCAATAGATTTTGTATACTTTTAGCCTCATGTTGATCATGATATTCTGATAGGTCTGCACCTGAATCTGACTGGTGCAGGCCCAATTTTTGCGTGAGGGAATGTGCAGTAGGACGATGAGCCGAATCACGAACAGAGTCATGTTCATCTGTGGAATAATTGTTGTCTGTGTGTGATGCACTGCAGTAACAGCTCACTGGTTCTTCCTAATTTTAAGGAAGAAAAGATATGTTTTTGTTCAAATGCTATATCGAAATCTAATACAGATACCAATGTTACCGAATTAACTGAAAATATCTAATAGAAAACAAAAAAACATTCTTACATCGTGTTTCTCTATGGATTGTGCTTCTATAATAGACCTTTTATGGAGGTCTAACATTTCTCCAACACAATCGCTCTCAATATCTTCATCTTTACTAGCATCTTCTAGAGCAAGGGCAGTATAAACTTCTGGGTGTCTAAAAGTAAACAAAAATTCACCTCACATAAGTTTAAAGCAACATATATGTTATTATATTATTCTTTAATTATATTTATCTTATAAAAAATGGTAAAAATCAATTTACATAGTTTTTATTATATAAATTAGATGTTCAATATGATACAATATCTCAGTGCTTAATAAGTAGAAAATAATTCCCACGTGGTATACGAATTGTTTATTATCGATATTTCGCAGAATCAAACAGAAAAACAAAAAAATACTTTCAATGACTGTTAACTTCTATACAACTCTATTTTTTAAGAAAACAACATTATTTCGTTTCTATTATGTATAGCTGAACAAAAGATTATTAAGTTTTCAAAAAATACATTGTGACCTAGCTCATTCGAGTGGGTGTCAAGGTTAGGTCATGTGTCACACCACTGATCGATAAAATGGTACTATTTTTAATTTTTGAAGAATTGAATAAACGCGGTATGGGGTACAGGATATGAAAATGAAACTGTGATGTTCGATAGTATAAATGAGTCATACTGTTGCAGCTGCATTTACCGAATAAATACTCTGCTGCAAAGACAATAAATGTAATGATCAGGGTCAGTAGACTCAGCTTGTTTTGCGATGTACACTTCGGCTAAAGGTTCCCAAAAGCGGTCACTCATGCCGATAGAAGTGTTTAATTGACTATTTGCTCGTGAATCGTCACAACACCCACATGTCTCACGCTCAAATTTTTACAACTTCCTCGAGTAAAAACAATCCGCCATTTCTTAGACAGCACACCATCGTGAAGTTGCTCCTGATTACCATCATGTTCTAATAATCAATCGATAAGTGCTATTTTTTGTTAAGTTTCATTTGATTTTGAAAAACATGTGTACATTAAGTATGATAGTATATTACAATTTAAAGATACATCATAATTATACACACTACTTTGTATTATTTAAAAAAAATGTTAAATATTTTCTAAATAATTTTTGTTCCACTCGAACAAAGTGTATAAATTATATTATATGTAGAAATTTATGAAGAACAAGCATTTTTTAAAAATTGTCTTTAGACTACGTTAGATACATTAAAAATAACGTGACGAATGTGATGGATAGATTTTATGCCTTTTTTTTCTTATGGGATTTCGGAAGTAACTTGACTTCCTTACCATTTTCGTGTCACATGCAACATTATCGATTCAGTATTGAAATAAACTACAGCGCGAGAGAAGCGGGAGAATGTGGAACTAGACAATGTTGCAACCGACTTAGTGATCGACAAACGATAAGAGTACTCTTAGTCCTGTTGACATCGTTGGTAATTGACAAGAGGTACAGAATAGAGATGACACTCAATGCTTCTTCGTTTTCACGCTTTGGAGATCACCTGACTCCTGTACAGTTTTCTTATCGCATACGATATTGTCGATTTGGTATAATAGTGGTTTGAATTGAAACTAAACTGTTTTATGAAATTACAAATAAGGTATAGAAAAAGACATATTGCGCATAAAGCATAGAATTCTATACTTCTGTAATATGTATCTACTCAATTGTAGTCTTTGAACTGTATTTGAACTTTCGACCGTTCGCGTGGAGACGCGATGATCTCTAAGAAGCGCGTCAACTGGGGTCGTAAATTTCCGCTACGATTTGACTAATCGACGCCACGAATCGTTCGATCCCGTATTTCGGTTCAGATAATAAGAGTGGTTGAATGAATATAACGCTGATATTAACAGGTTAATATACAGGGTGATTGATAACTGGTGGTACAAGCGGAAAGGGGGCGATTCTACGAGAAAGAAGAAGTCGAAAATATAGAATAAAAATTTTTTTTTAATTTTTTTTTTTAATTTTTCCATCGAGACAACGATCTACAGTGAGATCCGTTATAACGTACCGACGGAAAATTCAAAGTCGATTTTTCCGAAAACAAAGCCTCAAACAAAAAATTTTTATTCTATATTTTCGACTTCTTTTTTCACGTAGAATCACCCCCTTTCCGTTTGTACCACCAGTTACCAACCATCCTGTATATTTTCAACTATCCAACAACTTCAATGTGATACAAGGATACGTATGTGGAATGACAAACTACGAATGAGTACAACCTGAGACTCATTTCATGTTGGCGACTGTGATGATGTATCTTCTGTCGATTGACCATCATCGACTTGGCGATTTTGCTTGACTTCTGACTCCTGCTGTTCCTTGAACTGTTGGTCGAGTTGGTGTTAACTAACTGACGAGATTTGACTGTTACTTGAATGTACTGTGGAACAAGTCTAGAGAGCAAGTATAGAGATGAAGTGACTGCTTTGTAGTTATGAGAACAAATGAAGTTCGTTCTTGTGTGATTACGGAAGAAAGCTCGGAGTGGGTGTCTTTGTTGTATGAAGAAAGCGGATTTATTGCTCACACTTTTCGTTAGGAAAGTGAGGGTAACGATCCGCGATGCCCATTGGTTATGACCAACGTTAGGAATGAAGATAGGAGGAAGAAGCCTCCTACCAACGTGTCTCATGGGCGACATTGTTTATGGGAATATCTGCTTTTCCGTTAGACAAATATCTGCTTTCCCCGTAATTTGTAAGAACGTGCAATAAACCTAAGGACTGTTCTAAGGACCAGCCATAAACCGAAAATACTTGCAGGATTAAAGGCTAATAAGATTCAGTTTATGGTGGGACCTTAGGTGCTTGGGCCTTGACGGTCAGACGATGAAGGAAGCCGCACGGACCATCTCACGCGAGGTAACTAAGGATACTACCTATATTCTTAATGTTTTCTCATTTTTATGCGTTCTGATTGTTGATATTTCCTGACATTTTTGAAACAATTAATTTAGTAATGTTATTTTCTTCTACTCATTTTCACGGAATTTTAAGCTTCTTAAACAATTTTTTAAATTCAAAAGATTATTTCTATTATTTGAGTATTAGAAATCAATTTTTAATTTATACCCAATTTTCTAACGAAAACATTTTTGTAAATTAAAGGAGATATTGTATTGTTTAAAATTAATTTTATGATTTATCATGTTTTCGCATACAATTTACTTGAAACTTAGTACTAGAATCAACTACATATCAATGTATTAAATCTTATGCTATTTTTCGCGAGTTGTACGAACTACTATCTACCCTCTGGGAATCGTTGTGCTGCCCAGGATAATTGGAGACATTCGTATCGTCGCGTTTGTCACAGAGAAAATAGAATTGCTCCAGATGACCCCTACATCAGAAATCCACAGGGTATCGTCTTCTCCCATTCCGTGGAAACTATTGCCGTACAACGCACGCCAGAATCTCGAGGATTTCTGCATAGACGATTCAGCATACAATATAAATTTTAGGTGATGCTAAGCCATGATTGGCGTACAAGCGTCCTGCCGCATAACTGACTAAATGTATGATTAGTGCCCTCTGTGGTCAAGAGATTGCAAACTCGCAATGTCCATGAGGAAATCGGCGCGAGATAATTCTGCGCCGGTTCAATTCCGGGACGTAACACCAGACAAAACTATTTGCCTTATCTATATCAAATGTTACGAGGCACGAACGAAATATATATATATATACTTAGCGATGCAGGATCTATCACCACAGATAAGATGGATCTATCGTAACAGATTATAAACTAACATAAACGATGTACAAGTATAGGCGAATCTTGTACACTTGTCAGTGTTACCACTGATCTATCAGTACCTATAAGGTACCTATCGTCAGAAGTACTATTTACTAAGGACATCTCGTCGGTGTTACGTTCTGGTGCCAGAGGTACCATCCTTGTCTGTGATGTAGTTACTTTCCAAGCAAACAACATGCGCCATAGTGACCCTTGACAGCAAACTCCTTTTATGTTCTCGTCTATATAACACTCTAGTTCTAGCAACGATTCATAAATGATGCATGTTGATATTGGATCGTGATAATTGGCGTACATGTGACTCATTTTGCCATTTTCCAAGACTCCTAATATGAGGATAAACTTTCTTGTATTGTCCATCGCAGAGTATTGCTATAAGGTAGTCAAAACAAAATTTTTCTTTTCCAATTCACTTCAAAAGCTTCATTGCAAAAGTACACCGGAACTGTTAGTAGCTAGTACCAAAAATATGTTTCGTGTACAAAGATTAACAATGAAACCTAACAATAATAATAATAAAAACAAAAACAAACATTGGTTATTCTACAGAACTGCCGCTATCGAGCACTACCGAGCATCGAGCATGCAGAAAAAGTTGTGGAAAGAAGATGTGAGAAAATGAGTGATTGTGATATGAGAAAAGTCCTGTAGCGGTGACTCAAACCGCTTTGAGTTCTTGTCCAAAAGTAAAATCTTATTTCTAGCAACAGCTTACAGATGGCGGATGTATCGTTCATGATATGGGAATGTTGTCTGCTCTTCTTACAGCAGGGAATAACACTTTACTTCCATATAATATTAAACTTACAATTGGTCTTTATTCAAAATTATCACTAGTTGTTTTCTCATACGTCTGCTCGGTGTCAATGTTAAACGCCAATTCGTACATTTTGTTTTATGCGCTTGCCGCATATCCCTCTGCACATGCGCGTTGTTAAGCTTGCTATGCTGTATGTGGGCTTCGTCTCCCACAGTGATGTAGTTATCATTCATGTTACAACGTTGCCATTTTCTGAGTATCGTGCGCGCGGGTTCCGAGTTTTGTTTTTATGGCATAATTTTTCTCACAAGTCGAAGTCGAAAATTGGAAATATCAAATAGTATTTTATATCATTTTCCCCTTTGATATTATTATTATGCACATTCTAGCAATTGCATGTATCTTCAGAATTTTAACAACTTTACTGACAATAATTAGGTACAAGTTATTCATTAACTCACAATTTGTTAATGTTGTATGCAAATGTAGCGTTACCAAGTATGGGGGTTTCTTCAGTTTAAGTAAGGAATTTTAATTTGTTGAGAGTTGGAAGTATTTTCAAATATTTATAAAAAGTAATATAATTTATTAGAGCTCTCAGACTGTATTTCATTTGCAACCTTTAACAAATGAACTATGAATGTTAAACTTAAGTGTTTAAGATAGTATCATATGTATAACAAGAGAGATGTCTGTAGATTATGTTTATGATACGTTTATTGCAAGCATAGTCTAACGACTAATTATTTTATTTGTTATTTGCCTCGTATCTTTATCTTAAATAATATTACTTAAATAACAATGTATTCGGAAAATATATTATTTTAATATTTATTATTTTATTTTATAGATATTCGTTACTTAATTTCAATAGGAAAGCATTTAGTTTGATTTGATGGAATGTTTCGATATTCAGTCGTTTCTAAGACGAATATGTCATGCAAATAAATATATTTTTCTTTTTATATACGTATATATTATTTTTTTAAATATTTGTTTTCAATGTTACAATTAACTTACTTCGAGCGATCTTTTGAATTATGTTTTATTGAACTTCAATGTTCTGTGTTTTAATTATTATTAATGAAAAAGTAAAAATGATCAATCATTATAAAAATTATGAATATTTATTCTCTTGTATTTTTGAAACAAAATCTAGATAATTTTATTTCTATATTAGAATTCTAGTTGTATCATTTATTATTTAATCTTTATTATTATTCATATTTTAAGTTCTTACTATTTTGTTTGCAATACTGTGTTTTTACTAAGAAATTATGATATTTAATTCTTTGTTAATCATTTTTTGCAGTCTTGTTGTCTTCCACGGGCGATGATAATTATCTTTGCGGTGACTTCCTTTGGGCTATTGTAGAGCATTGATTGTAACGTTCTCCGCATCACAGTTCTAATAATCTCAACTGTGTTGAATATAAATCTGGCAACGGTGAGAGTCGAGCCTTAATGTAAACATAACCTAATCAGTATGACTTCCCGCGATTTTATGAAATATTTATTTGTAATAATGTTAGTAATATATATATATTATCATAGAAAATAGCAATAAACATTAATATAATGAAACAATTATAATACAGTGCAACAGAATGTGCAATAGTGTGTGTGTAACACAGTGCAGGTTTGTTTCCTATCTATGTCACTCGGTTGATGTTTATTACTGTTCTTTTTTATAACATTATTTCGTTCAATTTAAAGTCAAAACTGTCCAATAGTTATTCGATATATTTTATTTTAATTCTTTTGCTGTAATATTCTGCAATGAATTCCTCTACTATTGAATTCTACAAAGTTCTCCAAACTTTACATAATGAGATTTACTATTAACCATACAAATTTTTCTATATTTTATAGAAAGATTATTCTTATCAAAATAAAATACTATAAAATTTCACTGAAGACATGTATGCCAGGATGACTAAGAACTAATTTATTATTGTTTTATACGCTAAAAATGAATATATTATTATACAATACCATATATATTTTATTAAAATAAAAGTAGTTCTTTTATAAAGTATATGATAATTTTTGTAGATGACTGTATATCACCATTTGCAAGTACATCATACATGAATTTGTTTATCTTGAAGTTTATCTTTGAAGTACGTATGAATTAAATACTCACATAGGATTAAATGATTCAATGCCTATATATTTTATAATCCTTTCTTTATAGTAATATATGCATTGAAAACTAAGCTTGGAAACTAAGAAAAGTAGGAGGTACTTTTTATAATTCTTTATAAGTTTTCTTATAAAATCTTAGTAAAGTATTTTCAAATACACCATTAAAAAGTATAACTTTCTCATATCTTTGAATCTTATTTTCTTAATTTTAAACAGCAGAATTTCTTAATTTTTTGAGAAATAACAATTATACATCATAACTATTTCAATTTGAAATGCTATAGTGATTTCCCCTAGAACTAGAGCAATATCATGGTATTATTAATTTATAAGATTTTAATAAGAAAAAGCTACGTAATACTGTTACTTATGTTTATTAATTACTAACATAATGTAACATAATATACTTTAGCGTTATAATTGATTTCAAAAGTCTTCTGATTGTTATCATTGTTGTTCTCATTGTTTTATACTGAGTTATGTTTACTCATTTTTATTTATGTATTCATTAAACTTTTGTGTTTACAATTAGTATTAGTAATGTTGTTCTTTTTATGTTCCTACCATCTGATGTGCTTCTTTATCCATTTTTTATACCTGTAGTTATATCATTACTGTAATTTAACATTATAAGTTAGTCTACATTTGTTTTATATTTATATTTATTCAGAATCAATATACATAAATAATTTAAATACAAGCGTCGCATCATCGAATCTTCCTAAGAACCACAAAAAAATATGAATACAATGTTCACAAAAGCTAAAATGCTTATATATATATTACTTTTATATGCTATGTTTATATGTGTGTGTATTATTTATATATGATGATTATTTAAAAAATATTTTGTATATTTAGTTGAATTCTTTTAGAAAAACATTAATTACACAATCTGTCAATAAACTGCACTATAAGACTTCTAAGCATTGAGAGTTGAACTATCGATGCTTGCAAGAGGCGGTGTTGCCACGTTCACCGCAGCCAGTGCCGCGTCTCAAGTAGAGACTTGCCTCGCCGCATGTAGCGTGTGTAGTGATGTATCAGGTTGCATGACATATCGTTGAGGCAATCGCTATGAGTCTGCCGCGGACGGGAGACGGGAATTTACCTCGAGACAGATCTCAGCTTCTATACGAGAGTAGCACGGAAGTAAGGTCGCGACGCCGTTGTTAAAACTTAAAACATCTGTAACTTCTAGTAGCAACCTCTGTAAGAAGATATGAGTGCAATAGAAAATCACACATTCTGGACAGAATTTATTGCATTATATAAGAGTCTTCCTTGTTTGTGGGATATAAGGTCAAAATCATATGTGGACAGAAATTTAAGAAATGATGCAATAGATGTTTTGATCGAAAAATGTAAAGAAATAAATCCTTTGTCAGATAAAGATTTCGTTAATAAAAAAATACACAATTTGCGGTGCAGTTTTAGAAGAGAATTGAAAAAAGTCAAACAGTCGAGATCAACAAAAAATGTATATATACCAAGCCTCTGGTACTTCGATATTTTAAGTTTTATAACAGACTGTGATCCAGGGAGAGATACAGAAAACCTTAGTGATGTTAGTATTAATTTGAAAACTGAATGCAATGATAATATGGTAAGTAATTATTTTTTAGTATCTTTAAAGTAAAAGTTAGTTATTATTTGCTCAGTTATTTTATTCATATATTTATACACAATATTTAATTAATCTAATCCGTATAAACATTATTCTCTTTTTCAAATTTACAGCTTCGTCATTATTAAAATCATTTTTGAAATTTTCTCGATTTCTCGCGAAGAAAAATTTAAAATTCATACTGTTCGTTGTAAGAGTATCAACACTTTTATAATTTTTTCTATTCCTCTGAATGTGTATTTACGTTATCTTCATATAAGGGAGGACATATATACATATACTCTACTGTTCGAATGCATCCGAACACATGTTTGTTTTTGACAGGATGCAATTTAATAAAATTATAGTTAGGTGGATTTGCAATGATTTAATTTTTTTTTGCGATCAATACAGTTATGTACAATAAAATATTATTGTGTATAAAATCAAAATACGAATAGTTTAGATAAAGAAGGTTTTTCTGAACTGATAAAACTATAGACATTGCAGTGATATCTAAGATATGATACTTAATGCGAGTAGACAAATTTATGCGAATAATATTACATTTCAGTAACTTAATTATATTTTAATTTAATTATAATATAATTTAATTATATTGTACTATTTAATTATAATATGCTACCGATAACATGTTCATTGTGGATCTAATTTTCATTTCGTACAATGCTGTATGCTAACAAAAAATTTCCATACAACACTTCATATATGTGTTTAATATGAATTATTAGGAAATATTTCTTCGTAATTTCAAGATTTTTAGTTCATTTGACACATTTAAGTCGATACCGTACATAATCTAAAAGTATGTGCTTATCCGATTCGAATGTGCGTGTCGTGCTTAATGAACGTATTCAATTCGGTAAAAGGTGCATACTACTACTGCAAATCGACTAATTTGTCCAGATATTAATGAGTAATAAGATATTTATTTTATGCATGCCACTTTAAAAATTGTTTAATAAGCGGTAGTTTATTAATTACTTAAAACAGTGGCATGTACCACATGTTAAATGTCAGTACATATAATACTGAACAGAAGTATTTGCACAGATCAGCTTTTCCTACAAAATTTCCTGTAAATTTATGTATAAAATATACACAACCTTTTTTGTAAAATATACACATAACTTTTGACTTTAAAATTAAAATATCATATGAAACATATGATATTAATTATTAAAAAATTGATGCAAAAATCGACTTCATAATTGTTTTGGAACCGATTATTAGTACTAAAGAAATTAATCTAGGAGCGACATAGAAACCATAAGCGAAGCAATAATTTGTTTCTCGTAGCAGTTATTCAAAATAAATGTTATACATGATAGTTCTAAGAACTGGGATTGATATCATAACAATTTTAAATCCTAGAAAGTTATATTTTAGAGAAAAATTAAATAGAGTCACGTTTTTTTAGAAGCTGTGAAAGGGTTTCACAAGAAAAGCTAATTTGTGTCAATACCTTTGTTCCTCTGTATTAGAGGATTAAAAATATCAAACACTGAAGCCATCAAATGCGTTTCCATTACAGTGAGCCCTACTAATTCTAAGCTCATAATTAAATATTTTATGTCGTCTTGTTAAAATTTGCTTTCTCCTTTACTCATGAAGGAGCTTGATCATCCACAAGTGTACATGATATGATAAAATTTCTTTCTTTGAGTATTGTAAGATTGGATAAATTTAATTTTGTAGCGAACTTTTGATACAATTCTGTCTTCTGCAAAATTCTTCCGTCTTTATCTACATGAATCGTTACAAGTTCATACATTGCATTGATGGTTTCTGGTAAAATAATAATAGATATTCCCTTATAATTGTTGTGATATGATATGAATTACCAGCTAATTTTACTATTATATGTTTATTATATATCAATTGCTATAACACATTCATTAGTTTATTATAAGGATTGAGAATCGATCAAGGCTAGATTAATGTTTTTGAGGCCTAAGTATATCGATTTCTTTAATAGAAAAAGAAGGGGGAGGGGACTTAAAGTGAAATAAATTTACGTAAGCGTGATATAAAATTTACGTTGTAATCAATTATATTTAAATTTCTTAGTACACAATTTTATGACATAGTTGTTATTTTTAAAATTTTTCTTAACATAATTCGTCCGTTATACTCGTAGAATAAAATGCACTTTTCTCGAATAGCGAAGCCCCTGAGGTGACAAGGCCCGGGGCCATAGTTTCGCCCCTTTTAACCCTGTGCCTGGAATCGATTGTCATTTCTGCTCTAATCGTAAGCCTAAAAAATGAAGAAATGTATGTATGCACATATCCTTATCTATTTCAGGAACAAGACGATGTCGATACAGGAGGAAATATGTTATCTTCATCTCCGGAAGTATCAACTAGATTAAGTTCTTCTTTATCAACAACTCCTTCAATGACAAGAAACGTATTTAAACGAAAAAGGAAGTGCAAAGATAAGAAAAGTCAACCGGTTGAACTTGCTCATAAAATTTCAAAGGATGCAATATCTAATACACACGTCCGAGAAGATATTTTTGATATTACTGGAAAAAAGATTGCCTGTGACCTTAGAGAATTAAACGAGCAACAAAGAATAATAGCAGAGAAACTTATCAATGATATTATATATTATGCAAAATTAGGTAAATTGAATGAAAATTGTTTAGTATGTCCTACGCACGTGCGACCTACATAGCAAATTTTTCTGAGTATGACCTGTCATTTTAAAAATCGGAGTGATCTCCATCATGTATTTTACAATTTTGTGAAAATTTCCGAGTATAAAAAATATACATACATTCATATATGCATATAGGTATAATATTTATATTGAACGTTAAAGCTGAACTAAGAGGTATTTGTTTTAATAGAATTTAAATCCCATAATTAAAGAAATTTGGTAAAACATGTAAATAAAAAATTCTTTAAGAAATCATTAATAATATAGTTTTCTTTTAAAAATTTGTACTATTCACCAAGTTTCTGGAAATATTTGATATAAGAACTATAACGATATAGTGCAGGAAAATTTGCGAGCTTCGTAACTTCATTCGGTAACTAAATATTAAAGCGTAGTTATCAGACGTTCTTCTGCAGATATAATTTCTCGTGTTACAGTGTTCTTTTTCTCGATACAAGAAAATGAAATAAAAATTCTCTTGTACATTGTGTGTGGATAATTTTAAAAATATTTTAATCATATTTATCAAACATTTCTGTAATGGTCATATGTAAGAATATTCTTTCTTTTGCTTTTCATCTCAATACCTTCTTTTTAATTTTCTCCTATTGCATAGAAAGATATTGGAATGCCATTTACTTATCTTAAAATTGAGATTAAGTGTAAGTAGGTAACATGATACATATTGAGACTGCCTCATCTGGTTTCGAGTCATGTGGCGAGGCCGAGACTTCGCTATGTCTAGGGTACTTTACCGCGAGTCGTCTATATATTTTCGGTGACTTAATTACGTTGTATATTAGAAAATTTGAATAGATACACATACGTGACACTATTTTATATTATGCAGAATTTTATTGCAGTTGTGAATACTACACGCACGCACGCACGCACACACACACACACACGCACTATTCTTTTTATATTGGTTAAATTTCTTTGTACACCACCGCTTTTGGATATTAATAGTATGAAATTGCTACTAACATAATATTAGTAATTAATATATAACATAAACCTAACATATAATATTGATAATTAATTCGATTATTCGCGATCGAAAATGGAATATACAATAAAATTAAAGAGTCATTCAATTTTTGTCGAAAAATTATCAATCTTCGTACTATTGTTACTTCCTCCTTCAATAAGTTCATCTTATTTCTCGAAGATGCTTTCAGAAGGTTGCGTAGTCCGACTTGTTCTTCCTGTATGTATATTTAGTGTGTAGGTATACATGCCTACGTATACATACACTAAATGTATGTATATACGCACACTAACATACGCACTAAATTTATATGTATATACATACATATATTACCGCATAGAAGTACGCGGAAACTTTGATAAATTTGTTTTGATAATAATTAATTCAGTAGGCTATAAACATTTAAATCTGTTCGGGAATGTAATTTTTATTTTGTTATTCAGCAAGTTTCTTTGCAATAAGTCTACATTCGGCACGTAGTGAAAAGTCGTTTGTTAGAGGCCGGTCATTGTTCGGTTCCATGCTAGCGAAGTATCATAAAGTCGCATCCCAAAGGATCTTCTGGAATCCAGATGCTCGGTTCCGAGCCTAACGGTTCTCGGTACTTCGTAGTGTCGAGTCTTGACCTAGCGGGATCATCCTGTTGCCAAGCCGCTGCGCCGTTCACCAGCGGTCAGCTCCTTCACCCCTGCTCCAAGGACATATCTTGCCACGATTGCACTGCAACGAGGTGACTAAGGGTTGGTCGCTTTTAGGTATAAGTTAGTCGCTTTTCGAACATCACTAGTTTTTTTTCGTCTATCACTCGTTGTCATTTCGTTAGTCAGTTAGTCTTCGTAGTTAATCACATCTTTAATTAGTTAGCAGTTCTAATTTGTTTGTTGAAAATACATAGATTTTAGTCTTCGATACCAAGTGATTCGTTGTGAAGGTTTTTTATTAAACTGCACACCACGCGCAAATTTTAATAAACTTCGAACCATCCGTTTCTATCGACCACGGGCAATAAAGAAAATTATATGTATGTTAAAATAATCAACAATAGCATGTAAATTTATTTTTACAATTAAATACGCGATTTATTAATAAGTCGGTCGATTATTTATACAATTGTTTGAAATAATGTTATTAATCGTACGAGCTATCCTACTAGCTCTTGTATGATATATTGTGTATCGAAGAATGAAATTTGTATATCTTTGTTGTAGAATTATATTCATGTTCTATTTTTAAGTAGGCATTATCTTCTCTTGTTTTTATTTCTATAATCTTTATAACCATACATTAAATTGTATAATTTTGTAACTAAATTAAGTTTTATCAATTCGTCGCTCTAGTTCTTAACTGTTCTGTTTTCACTAACTCCTAAACTGAGAAGACTGAGTTTGAAATTTATGAAGATTAATATTATTGTTTGGAGGTAGAATTTGAAAGAACTGAATGTTGCTTTCTAGCTAAGATGTTGCGTTTTAAGCTGAACTTTCATCGTATTATCGTGAATTTGTATTTTTTACGCATATAAGACATACGTGGATTTGTTAATTACATTTTTCGAAAAATTAGGTTAAAACAGTTATGAACTAGGGTAACAGTCTGTCTACATTTCGTTTAAAAATAAAAAATAGTATTAAATTAACAATTAAATAATACTAAATGCATGTAGTCTCGCTTTTCATACAATTTTGCAAGGTAAATATGTAAATGGAAAATGCAGCAACGCTTGGAAAAATAAAAAACGTCTGCCGTCGGTAACATTTGAAAAACACAAGATGTCGATTGACGTCTCTCGACGTTAATGTATTAAATTAATATTACGTTATTATGAACATGCATATTAGTATATTTATCTGCCCCATTGTATTCAACATAATTTTATTTCACCTTGTTTATCCTTCGAAACTTCGAACTTATGTATAATTTATTTGATCCGGATTTAGTCGATCGTCTATTTGGTATTATGCAGTGACGTATATATTGTTATCGACGTTCAAGCTCAAGTAACAATTAATTGCGTTAACAACTTTTCTCACTCTCTTATAAATTAAAAAATTCATAGATCATAATTAATCCTCTGTTATAGTACATATCATTCACGATGAATCTTTTCCGAAATTGTATGAAAGAATAAGTTAAAAAGTTTCTTATCTATTCATTCAAATGAAGTTAGTTTATAATTACATATTTTCCATTATCAATATATTGTCAAGATAGAGCCACAAACGAACTCGACGACAGTTGACCAATCAGGATATAAAATCTCCAGTGATTGTATTGCAATCAGCACGAATCCTAAGAACGCAATATAATATACATATCTCTCTAAAAATAAACAAATGTAAAATAAAAATTTTACATCCGTTGAGTTTGTCGATTTTGCTAATTGGATTCAATATGTATATGTACATAATTCCTATGTAACAATATTTACACACATCCAAATATACTATGTAGATACTTTAAAAGATAGAGGGCATGACAGAACGTCTGATGTTTTGCACAATTGGTATTTCAGAATATGAGATTCGAAAACTTATAAGGTGGCAGATCTGTCTTGTACTTTTTCTGTGGTGATATATAAATTCTGCATCTCGTTCGTGTTAGAGTAAAAGGAAATCAAATAGGATCAATAATACTATTAATGTATATCTTGATAGCTTATAAAATCTTCTAATTTTCAATTAGTTTATTTTAATTTAGTTACAACTCCTAATTTATTTACATTTGTAAATATAATTATATTTAATATTTCAACTAAGAAGCGCGAACACTAAAAAATTATATTTTGAAATACTTTATTTTAAAAGTTACTTCATAATATTGTCGTAGTACAATATAAACGCGAAAAATTAAAATAACTTAAAACCTTGCAAGATGGAAACATAAAATTATGTGTGCGTAGATATAATGAAATAGCTATTGTTAGATATAATAAGCATGTAAGAAAATTTTGGTTGCAATGTATGATATTTATGTTTCTTTTTAAGTACTGTATCAGTATATACTAAAATTTTGTGATTTTTTATCATTGAAGCACTAGCCCTGTAAAGATTTCTTCTAAACATTAAAAAATTGATTAAGATAATACAAAAATGGCAATAACAGAAAAACAATTATAAATAATATTTGGATGAATATTAATAATTTCATTGTCTAAGGATACTTAAAGATATGTATATATTCGCCAGTTGAATTCAAGGTTATAACGTCATAACACCACGATTATTCACTATGAGAGACTCGTAAAAAGTATACCTGATGCGTTAATATAGTAACAGAAGGTTCTTTAAAGTATTTTTGCACTTCGGTAACACCTCTGTATTTAATTATTAATGGTAGAATTAGAAAAACAAAAGTAAAGAATATTTAAATAATAGTTGATTCATTCCAATTTTGCTTAAAATCCATTTTATCTTCAATCACTGTATAAAAATGTTATTTCCCAAAAACATAAGATAATTTTTCTGGTTAATTGACTTGTTACTATATATTATTATATATTATATATTATTGATATAATTGATATATTCATACGTATGAAGATAATTTTCTTATCATCCAGAAGCGGTCATCCTTTTCAAGTAATAGGATTTTAAAACAGTTCCGGAATCCACAAGAATAGCAATAGTGACGTATCGGGAAAATGATTATATCCTAGACTGACATAAAAGCTTCCTTGACAAGTTCTATTTTGAAGACTGTATGAAATATTTCTTCATGAATAATAACAATACGTGTTTACAAACAACTTAAGAATATACACACAAACCAATCAAAATGCCAAAAGAATTGAAGACAATTTAGAACTGAGTATACGCAACATATCTATAGAATGAATATTTATGTTCATAAATCTTCCTATAATTATTCCAATAATTATAAAATAAGTACAATCAAAAACAATAATTATAAAATTTTTACGGTATTAATCATTTTTTCTTACCTAATGATTTACAATGAATAGAACTTGAGTTTTTAAAAGTTGAAACTACTATATATAAAATAATATCTATAATAGTGTTAAAGTGATAATTCTTATTTTATCGATTCCATCCTGGAATAATTACGAATGAAGCAACTTTTGTAGGCAATAGGTACGTAAAATTCAACATATTATATAAATTAAACCCATTTAACACATAATACGTACTTTCATATTTTTCATATGATGAATAAACACTACATATGAATAAACATTAGAAGCAAAACATCTATGACAGATACTTAAACAAAGATATAATGATATCGAAAGGAGATTTCTACGGTATAGTTCAGCTTTCGATGACTTAGAGGCAATTTTGAAGCAATATCCAAAAAGGCGTTAATAACAATTTGTGTGTTATTTAAATAACGAATTAATAGTAATTGACTCTAGAAGGTTGTTATGTTTTACATAATCATCGACACATATTGTTTAAAATAATTACCAATGAATTTCATACACGATTAAAAATTCTAGGTTTTTCCTACGAATTTCTTTATATTCATTGTTTCAAGTCATCTAATAAAGGACGTGACTCAGGTATCCAGAGCGTTTTGTTTTCCTTGAAAATTCTAAGTACTGAATTCAGAATTTCTTTTCCCGTATTCCAAGGATAACTATCGTATTTCTTTTTATTTTGTAGAATTTGATTGTTTTTTATTTCTTGTTTAATTTAATATAATAGCGTTAAATATACATATTGATATAATTGCATGTTCATTAAATATATACACTGATAATTTCTTCTAATTTATACTTATAAGTGTAAATCAAAAGGAGTACAAAAGTTCATATTTAAAACAAACATTTACAGTATATACGCATTTCGTCAATATATTTCGATCCTAAAGTTTTAGCACTTGCTTGCAATTTGTCTTTATTGAAATATTTATTAGTTATTAATTACAACTTAATTAAAGTTGTATTAATAAGTACTTATCATTATTTTTAAAATTTCTTAAAAAAAAATTACCAATCGTATGTATGGAATTTTTGAAATATAAGGAACTCTTTCTTTCTTGAACTAAACATATCGTGTAATTATTAATGAAAATTTAATCGCGTGACCTATGACGCTTGTAAAATTTCCATTCCGTTATATTCGTTCAAAAGTTATAAATTCCGAAAATATCAAGAAACAAGTTATAGGAATGGGACAAATATACAACGAGAGAACAAAAACGCAAACTACAATTTTCGTCACACAGTTGAAAAATGTGTAGCTAAATATTGTTACTGCTTAGAATCGTAGAAGCTTGTCAGTTTGAAATATCAATAAAACTCTAAGCAGGCTCCGCAAATGTATTTGCGTTATAGTCTAAATTCATCGATGACAACTAAATTATAAGTGTGCTAGCTTAAAATTTGTAGCAGTTTGTTTACTGAGCTGTCGGGAATATTGATACAGTAATTTCGACACCCACGTTCGAAACCTTCTTATTTCATTTTCCTCAACTATTAGGAACATATATTTAAAGAGCGTGTTAATAAAATACTTAACGATGTATAAGAGGAAATATTTTACTAATAACAGCTTTATGTAACGCGATTATTTACATCATATTTTAACACTGAATTATTTCCAATAAAATACACTTATTTCATGCTTATGCGGTATGCAATAGCGTAGGTAATTGTTTTAAGTGATTCGTTCTGCTGGCGGACGTCATCCGATGTGGCTATATTACCGGTAATTTAGAAAATCCCCGACCGTGGGTGAAACGACTAATTTACTAGTTGTCTCTCTAATTGCATATCGGTATATACCGCGCATATTATGCTGTACATTGCATATCAGTGTCAGTGAACAAACTAGTAAACTTTGTATCAGATTCAGCTTCCAAGAATTTTGTTTCCATATAGGAAAACAATTAGCATCTTACCAGTAGCACATGTGGTAGAAGTAACACGAAAAATGGATATATCGTATAATGTGTACAATTATCTTTTTTAATCATTACCAATCGTATGTTACCTCTCCTGAGAAGGGAATATGAGTTTTAATATGAATCTCTGATTAAAATAAATAAAATTCATGTATAAAATATAAAAATATATGTATGTTGATTTTGTTGCTGAAATAATTATTATAACACTTGTGATGAGCATTCATAAGCTTAATGGTAATGGAGCTATAAATTATAAAGCGAAGAGT